TGTATGCCAGACATAGATCCCATCATATTCCCACACTTTCTGGACCTATTTCCAGACCCCATATCTGACTCATTCCCAGATCCCCTTCTGCTGTGTGCTGCATATCTAAGCAGGATTAGATCTGCTATGGAATTACCCCTGAGCTCTGGACCTCTGGATCTTTACTACTAGCCTGATCCATACACCCCTATCCTGTCCACCCTATGCACATTCCATCCAGCAAGACATCCGGACTTTACCTCCTCTTGGATTCTGGACTACATCTACTGCCTCACATATCTCAGTCCCGTTTCTGCCCTGGCTTCCAGATCCCCAGATCTCTGGACCTCCAGATATTAACTGTACTATCTCTGGACCTATTCCCACCCTCCATCCAAGATCCTGCACCTATCCCCATTTAGGCATCTCCACCTTCCCAGTTCTTGGTTATCTCTGTTTCTGTCTTGCTGATTGATCCTTGTATGAGTCTTCATCTCCGAGTTCATTTACTTATGTTCCATCTTACTTACCAATGTGTTTCCACATGCTCATACATAGTCTTACTCTGTTGCTTACTGATCCCCTCAGATATTCTCCAGTATACAGTGGCTCAAAAAAGTATCTCAATGTTTGTGACTTTTTGTGTAATTGCTATATTATGAGCTAGAGTGTGAGAATATGACTAAGCCATAGGGATGTGTGGGAAAGCTCTGCTTCCAAGTTTTATGTTTGATCCCTCTAGCATGAGAAAATTATGTCATGAAGTGAAGATATGGTTGATTTAATTTGGTGACTCATTGAGACACTTTTTTGACTTTCAGTTTGACCAACACAATCTCTATAATTCTGGTACTTGGTAGTTTCCTCCTGTTGCTCTAATTACTTCTGCCACTCTTCTATGCATACTATCTATCAATTTGAGGCATTCCTCATCAACAATATTGCCCCACTCTGCTGCAACTCTCTCCCACAGCTGAAATAACCCCTATTGAGGATCTTGATAGACTGCAAGTGATATCTTGAGTAATTACCAGGGCTGTTTAATGGGGTTGAGGTCTGAGAACTGGACTTGCCATGATAGAACACTGATACCATAGTTTTCAAACCATTTTATGGTCAACTTGAAGTATGCTTAGGGTCATTGTCTTGTTAGAAGGTAATGTTTTCTTCATTAATTCTTGATTCTTGCATGCTTCTGAGTAGATACTTTTCCAAAATTGAAACGTGCTGCTTTGCATTCATCCTCCCCCGCACCTCACAGAGAATTCCTACTCCATTCCACCTCATACAACACCATACCATCAAGTTTCCTACTTGTTAAGAACCATGTTGCTCAAGGGGGAGAGAGACTGACTCAGAGGGGCTTGGCCTCAGCTCATACACTGTGCCCCTTACCCAAGTATGTGCCCTTCATTTTGTATAAGGTCTGATGATGGTCCAATGAAGTCCAGAGGACTTCCGGAGGCTGGCTACTCTGCTGGAGAGCGCTAGAGGACTTCCAAAGGAGTGCAGGAAATGTCCAGAGGAGCACAGGAGAGTTCTGGAGGAACACAGGAAGTGCTCAGGAGAGTTCCCACTGCAAGGTAATACTTCTACAGGAAACAGGATGGAAGGATAGGAGGTCCGAAGGTCAGGAGGACAGGAGGACAGGAGGACAGGATGTCTGGAGGTATGGAGGGCAGAACATCTGAAGGACAGGAGGTCTGGAGGTCCAGAAGGAATAGGGGCTACATTGGACTTTGTCCAATGTAGAAACAAACAGAGGTAGACTACCCTAAGGTAGAGTTGGAGAGACAGGGATTGGACCTAAGTCCAGAAAGAGGGTAAGTGCCAGAAAGGTGGAGCTCCGGCCTAGGGAATCAATCCCTAGGCCTGATGGGTAGGACAGACTTAGGCGGACCAAAGTCCAAGAGAGGATTGGGCAAGTCTAAGTTGATATTCAAACTAAGGAAACTACAGGAGTATCTACAGGGGTTATATACTGGAGACTATCTGAGGGGATCAATAAGCAAAGGAGCAAGGCTATGTATGAGCATGTGGAAACACATTAGTAAGTAAGACAGAACATAACTAAATGAACTCAGAGATGAAGACTTGTACAAGGATCAATAAGCAAGACAGAAGAAGAGGTATCTGAAAGCCAGAAGGCAGAGAATGCCCAAATGGGGATAGGCGCAGGATATTGGACAGAGGGTGGGAATAGGTCCGGAGTTAATATCTGGAGGTCCAGAGATCTGGGGATCCGGAAGACAAGGTGGATACAGGACCAGGATATGAGAAGGTGGATAGAGTCCAGAATCCAAGATGAGGTGAAGTCTGGATGTCTTGCTGGATGGAGTGTACATAGGGTGGATGGGACAGGGGGTTATGGTTCAGGCTAGCAGTGGAGATCCAATGGTCCAGAGCTCAGGGGTAAATCCAGAGCATAGTCAATCCTGCTGAGGTGTGGAGCACACAGCAGAAGGGGATCTGGGAATGAGTTGGATATGAAGTGTGGTCCAGATGTAGGCTCAGAAGGCATGGGAATATGATGGAACGTGGGTCCTGATTGTGGGATATGACACTACTCCATACTTTGGTATTTTCTTGACCTTTCTTGCTTCTAGTAGTTCTTCTGCATTTCATTACATATAGTCCTAGCTATCTGGCCCCATCCTATTGATTTTTGTCTCATCTGACCAGGTAGCCCTATTCCAGTCCTCAACAGTCCAATATTGAGGCTTTAAAGCAAAGGCTAATCTCCTTCCTATATAGGCTGAAGACAGGAAAGGCTTTTCTGCCTGTTTACAGCTTTAAGATTGGCTGCCTTAAGAGTACCCCTGACTATTTAAGTGGAGAGAGCAGTGTAGATGATGTAATTAATGAATTTGGTGGCTTGAGTAGCATTGGCAGCCTGCCTAGTTGGAATATTATGAACAAGAGATTTTTTGATATATGATGTAAGCTTGAAAGGACAATTTAATTTGATATTTTTCTTATCTGGAATGACTTTTTTATGATCCTAATGATAGCAACCCTGCTCAGACCAGTTTTAGTAGCAATCTGCCTGGTATACAGATTAGAAAAGCTGATGATAATAACAATAGGGGCTATTTCAGCTGTGGGAGAGAGTTGCAGCAGGGTGGGGCAATATTGTTGATGAGGAATGCCGCAAATTGATAGATAGTATGCATAGAAGAGTGGCAGAAGTAATTAGAGCAACAGGAGGAAACACCAAGTACCAGAATTATAGAGATTGTGTTGGTCAAACTGAAAGTCAAAAAAGTGTCTCAATGAGTCACCAAATTAAATCAACCATATCTTCACTTCATGACATAATTTTCTCATGCTAGAGGGATCAAACATAAAACTTGGAAGCAGAGCTTTCCCACACATCCCTATGGCTTAGTCATATTCTCACACTCTAGCTCATAATATAGCAATTACACAAAAAGTCACAAACATTGAGATACTTTTTTGAGTCACTGTATACTGGAGAATATCTGAGGGGATCAGTAAGCAACAGAGTAAGGCTATGTATGAGCATGTGGAAACACATTGGTAAGTAAGATGGAACATAAGTAAATGAACTCAGAGATGAAGACTCATACAAGGATCAATTAGCAAGACAGAAACAGAGATAACCAAGAACTGGGAAGGTGGAGATGCCTAAATGGGGATAGGTGCAGGATCTCGGATGGAGGGTGGGAATAGGTCCAGAGATCTGAGGATCTGGAAGGCAGGGCAGAAACAGGACTGAGATGTGTGAGGTGGTGGATGTAGTCCGGAATCTGAGAGGAGGTAAAGTCCAGATGTCTTGCTAGATGGAATGTGCATAGGGTGGATAGGATAGGGGATCTAGGAATGAGTCTGATATGGGGTCTGGAAATAGGTCCAGAAAGCGTGGGAATATGATGGGATCTATGTCTGGTATATGGGATATGACAGCTCTGCTGTATGACTGTAGCAATAGTAGACTGGCTAGGACCAATTTTGGAAGCAATTTGCCTTATAGATAAACCAGAGGAGCAGAGAATAAGGATATTATCCTTTTGAGCAGAGGCAATGGGTTTATGATGATTATGTTTAAGTTCTTGATGTTTTGTGAGTTTATATATTCAAATAATATTAAAATCAGACCAAATTGTTATTATGGCACCACTTCCATTAATATTATGTGTGAATGATCTGATTTTATGATTTGAATATAAAGTCAAAAAAGTGTCCAAATGAATTAACATATCTTGCCCATAGATGGTCTAGTTCCCACACCATATGTCTCAGATTCTAACCATGATGTAAGACTTTCAGACATGTCCCTATGCCTTTATATTATACTCAGGTGCTGGCTTGCTATTATCCAATTACTTGAAAATGCATAAACATTCAGACACTTTTTTGAACCACTGTATATAGGTACAACATGCAGTGATAAGAAGAGCAGAAGGGATCAGGAGTCTATGAAACAAGTACAATCTCAGTGTCTTGGAAAGAACTCTGTTAAGGGTTTGTCTACCTATGAAACAAGTACACTACATCACATTAGACATTGTATGGTATAAGTGACAAATTCCTACTCACATCTCAGTATCTTGGAAAGAACTGAGATGCTAGGATGCTACTACTGGTGTTTTAAAGGTAAGTATGTTGACAACAATGATGTATTAAAAAAAAACAGAAAATAAAGTAGGATGCAAGCCAATGTCACTGCATCACTTGCCCTTTGTCCCTTTTCAGCTTGTGCTCATACCTCTCACTCATTGTCCATACCTTGGTCAGATCCATCAGTCTTCCTTGTCTCAGAACTCTCAGATTCCAACACAACAGATATTGCTTTAGGGCAGGTCTGTACAGAATACAATGATATTTTTCCAATGAGAAAAGAAGATAGAATGATACAATATTGAGTCATATGATCAAAGAAAAGGTATGAGTCACATCACAGCAATCAAGGGATAATAGAGTCAACTGTGACAAATATAATCTTAGACCCTACACCCCAATACCCATGGGTCCATACTCAAACCCATACCCAACCACACAGGTATGGTTTTGCTAGGTGTGGGTGCAGGTACAACATGGAATACCCATAAATTGCACATGCTATTGCCTAAAGCCTACAGTATACCAATACCATACAGTGAACAGCCCTAGCAGTTAAAACATTCCCTGATGCACACTATGTAGTGCTATATAGCAACCCCAATTTTCCAGATTACAACAATCAACATTGTCTATCCCAGCCATTGTTCATAAGTGGCCACTAAGTCCTCTCCATAAGTACCTGCATCCTCCACCTCCATACTTCTAATGTAAGTAACATAAGTGTCAAGTGAATTACCCTCCTCTACAAAACCTTTTGACTTTCTGACAAACCTTTCATATATTTCTTTGTCTTCAGGCTCTGCTTCATCATTACATGCCTCTAGCAAAGCAAAGCACTGATCAACATATCTGAAAATAAGCTTAGCTACTGTCTCTATCATAATCCAGACAAACTTACTTCAGATACTCTGTTTGCTCTTCAACTGGCACGTCTGGATGCAACAACCTCTTGACAAGCGCAGCTGATGAACGAGGGTCATCAGTGGAAGGTAGGTCTGATTTCAGCACCTCTTGTTTGGAGCTCAATGCCTTCTTGGAAAACCCGTGCTGAGACGAAGGATACGTGCCGATCCAACGACGAACTCCAGCCATGAGCCTGGAAAACAGTTTGCATGAAATACCATAGACTAAGTCGAATACGCACCGTGGATGGTGTGTTGGACGAGTACTGTGAGGGAGAAATGGACTGTAAGCAATATCCTTCAGAGTCTTCCTGTGGTTGATGACAGGCAAATTAGCAACAATTCCGCCACTGTACAGCACTGCTCACCCTGGTAGCTTCAATGTGCTATTCATGGAGTACGCAAAGTGCTTTCCTAGTGAAGTAAATAAGAGCGGTCGGTAGTACTCCGCCCAAAACTCTCCGCCGACGTTGACAAAGTCACACAACGCTGACGAGCACTCCATCACATCGTACAACACTTGGAGATGCCGCTTCTGGAACCATTTCTGGTACTGACCACGCTTCGGAGGAAGCACCAAGCTGCGTTCAGCTGCCACGCCAAGAAAGAGATTAATTGCTGCTTGTTTGTCTGCGTCTAGAGGAACTTGTCAGTTATGGGTGGGTGAGTTCAAGACAAGTAGGTACCAAGAAGAGAGTTGGCATAAAAACGGCGGATGTTTTCGATGATGTCCCTTGAGTGACTATTCCAGTGAGGCATCCTGCGATATGTCTCTACCCGATTCACAAGTGCACTGCCGGTATACTGCAGCGCGATGGCTAAACCAAATATCAGTGATGCCTAACACAAGTTACATGGTACACTGAACTATCTCCATGGTCATGATACATTTCAGTCAACATGTTCACCGCATCTGAATCGAATGGGAGGTTTGGGCTGGCAACAACACCGAGGGCATACAACTGGTGACCCAGAGCACGCTTCCCGAAAACAAATTGTGCTGCATTCGTACGATCCAGGCAGTCAACACAGTTTGTGCGGCATACACCATTCTGCAGCAAGATGGAACGACGGTAATGTTCGTTCTCTTCACTGGGAATGACAAGGTCAATATGACATTTGAAAAAGACGAGTGTAATACACACAAGTTGCCATTATCGAGACAATGAGCGAGTGGTTCCACACCGGAATGAAAGAAACCAGTCATCTGAATAGATACCTCCGCTATGTCCTCGAGGTAGCTTATAACATCTTGTGTCTTCCTACAGTCATATTGAGACAGCGCAGCTCCAAAATTGCATGAAAGTCGTACTCTTTGTATGCCCGTGACATGTCCCAAGCCCGATAAACCATCTTGTACTCATCCGGCAGAAATTGGTTCAAATATTTGACGCATTGAGTATACTCATCTAACAACTTCGATTCGCGTGGCTGCGGCTCTCGCCGCTTGATGAGGTTGAGGACTGTGATTGGCGCGCCATATCGTGCAAAAAGGTCGTCGAAATGACGGGATGCAGCGACATAGAAGGGATCTACAACGCTGACTTGGGATGGGTCAAGATAAAGGTAAGTTGATTGTCACAGCGGACATACTTTCAATGGGCGGTCGGGGAGTCATGCTAGTAGTTTCCTGCGTCCAGTATATGGGAATGCTGCCCCTGTACTAAGAATGTGCGACTGATGTAAGAACCATGACAGATCGCATGATGCGTTGGCCCGTACCTGAACGTAACTGGTATACTGAGGGCTTGGCCGACGTTGATATTCGCCTGTTGAGGGACCGGCAGGGGGGAAGTAAAATGGTGTCGTTAGTGCTTCTGATACAATTTGCTCGGTCTCAACCTCGTTTGCAACATTTCCCTAGGCAAATACTTGAGGGAAAAGGATTATTTAATATACTGGGTCCGTACCTCTTCATTGACACCGCGTGTCAAATATCGAGCTCCAGCATAATGGCGCGATCGACGAGCAATAAGCGTTACAAAGACTACACGCCCAAGTACAGTAAGTTCTGGTGCCGTACTGAGCATCGCGATACAGGTAGCGTAAAAGGCCAATGCACTTACTAGCTTGGTCTACATGTCCATGTATGAGTGACAGTAGCCATGGACGCCGGACGCTAGTGGCGGGAGAATCCTTGAGAGGTGCAGCGATCATGTGAAAATTCCAAACATATCGATCATTGAAGGACCATCTGGTACCGTTGAAACGCTCGGGCTTGGTGAGGTTATTTTGAAGCGTAGAAGTGATATCGTATGAGTAACTAGATTGAGGCATGATGGTACTAATTAGGAGAGCTCGGGCGCTTGGATATTGCCCACCTGAAGTAAAAGTTCTTCGACATATCAACTTGCTTAAACATACTCACAAGGCGCTGCTCCTCGGCAGGGCGCTCAATCTTGTGATTGGATGGAACAGGTATCATCTCTGTGTTCTCGCAATGGTACAAATAGTGGCCACCAAGAAGTGCCACAACAGAACGCTTTGATATGACGATCATGTACCACCCAGCCGTGAACTTCACGAATCCTTGGTCTGGTCAGCGACTTATGATAAACGCGCTGGTGTAGCGTACCTGCAATTCCAAATATTATGCGTGCCTTGCCAAGCCCACCAGATCCCTTGTTACCATCCTCCAGCATCTTGAGCATGTTGCTCATTTGCTTGCCGCTGTAGTCGGTGTCGTCTTCGATAATAGCAACGTCAGTTTGTGAGGTGCGGTCAATCTTGACAATCCGGTGACGCGAATCAGAGGCGTTAGATGCGACGATATAGAAGCGTAGTTTGTTCTCGTATAAAATGAACTTATTGAACGCAGAGAATTTGTGTATCGAGTTACAATTGGCAGGAGGTTGTATTGACTTGTCTGACGACTCCGTAGCTCTACCCTGAAACCCAGCGGTCGGGAATGTCGATGAGCTTGGTGGATCTGACTGTGACGCTAGTCGGTCCATGGCAACCTGGCAGGTGCAACAGTCTTAACTGCGACCTAACTGTAGGTACTACGGCAAGCACCGATCATGAGTTTGCTTCTGCTGACCAAGCCCACCTCCTATTGCAAGTCAACCAACCATGTGTGGACGATATGCCCTAGGTCTGCAGGTCAGTTTCTATCGTACCTTGCTTCAGCTGTTTTAACGTAACTAGCGTACTGAAATACGCGCTTTACCCGGATATCCCAATCTTGAAATTGGTGAATGGGTGAACGAAGACGATTTCGTGGTGAGTTCTGTGTTCAACGCCACCGAAGGCAAACCATGAGATGCATCCTGAATTACAGCCCCACTACAACATTGCACCAAACTCTCTGGCGCCTGTTATTCGCAGGTGTAACGCTTCTTCACCCGACCTTCAAATGCAGACCATGCGATGGGGCATCCCTTATGGTAAAGTTCATGCGAAAAGTCAACAAGCCATCAATGCACGCTCGGAAAGCATCATGGAAGGCGCAGGGATGTGGAACAAATACCGAAGCAGTAATCGCTGTGTTGTTGTTAGCCAGGGGTACGCGTTTGCAATTCGAAATGGTCCTGGAACTAATCCTCCATTAGGTACTACGAGTGGCAGACAAAGGGCAAGGCCAAGCTTCCTCACTTCACGAAATATGCTGATGGGAAGGTGATGCTTATGGCTGGACTTTATCACGTCTCAGGTGCGCATCATCGCTGACCACCGGACACTACCCGCCCTCAACACTGACGGCTCGAAGACGAAACCATTCCAAATTATGTTTTTGCTATAATTACAACGAGCGCCAGCACATCACTTAGTTGGCTGCACGACCGCCAACCTGTTATTCTTACATCTGACGCCGATGTCACTAAGTGGCTCGATACAAGTTCAAATGCTTGGGCCGCCGAACTCGGCAATCTGTTACGACCGGCTGGGGGCCTAATATGGTGTGCTCTTTTCTCCCTTGATTGTATCTCGAGCACTGATAGTTATATGCAGCTATCAAGTTCCAAAGGAAGTCGGAAAAGTTGGTGCCGAGTCTCCCACCTTTATCCAGCCCGTTGCGATGCGCAAAGACGGTATTGAGGCTATGTTTGCAAAGCAAAGCACCAAACAAGGGGGAAATAAGGAGGGCATCAAGCGCAAGCGCAGTCCATCTCCAGTCATATCATCAGTGCATTCTGAACCAGCCGGGGAGAGGGATGAGAGTCATAAGACAGAGTGCAAGAAGCTTAAAGTTGAATAATTTGTTGCAGGCATACCACGCCGTATTATCACAGTATTTGTGGCGCACAGTTGCATATCTACAGTATGTCATAACCCTAACCCTGATTCATGAGGCAAAGGTTGCTTGGCACTGCTTGCCAGCGCTCGGATTCCGTTGATCGGCAAACATCACCTGGCGGCAGCAACCTGGAGGTTCCTATGGCCTATTTCTCAAGCCCAAGGCCACAGTCCTCAAGTTCTGCCATCAAGATTGTCAATCCGGCAGAACATGATGACAAGGCTAAATTACAGGCCAAGAGAGGTAGTACCTTCGATTGATGCAATATCCACACACAATTTGACCCGGTTCATCAGATTCTCCCCAGCGTCAGTGTAGGAATATATTGATTTATGGGTAAAATCAACTCTTCAGCCGCGAAGTAGTATTTGAATGTGCCATGCAGATCTTGTCGTTATCAAGACAAAGGTTGTATCTATTATCACCCACCGGTATGTGCAGTCCTAGTCTCATAGTATATACCTTTTCTCAAGGTTCTTCAGGTTGAAGGTTCAAACAATTCGTGCGGAGGGTTTTCGATCTTTGACTGCCTTGAGCGCTCATAATGTCTCTAGGCCACGTCCAGAATCACCTCTTCCTGCTTCACTTTCTGCGCAGGCCGTCAACGCTCCAGTGTTTGTGCCAAAGGCACCTTTTCATGCCATTGCAACTCCATCCCCGACCTCGGCGTCTCCATTCACTCCTTCGTACGTCCCCTATACATTACGCTACGACTACTGACATCTGTGTAGTCTCTCGCCTTCAACCTTTTATCCAAATCATGACGAATACGATGATTATGGAAACTCTGTCTCCAATCAAACACCTCAAACATTGGAGCATCAGTTAGTCAATCAGTATCAGCAGGTGCGAATCTGTCCTTATATATCTTTTCACTAGACTTATAACTACTGTAGGTGGATTATGACGACCATGCCTCACCAATGGGCAATTTCTATCAATCTCAACAGGCTACGTTTGTCAGGCAACCTGTAAGCTTCCCCTGCCAGTCTGCGTGGAAGGATGTGTTACTTTTATTGTGTATAGTTGGATTATCATCTCTACTCGCACCCTACTCCAAATGCCTTTCCCTCGACGCATTTTGTCTCCGATGTAATTCGCGAGGAGCTGCACAAACGCTCAGAAGCCTCACAACTGGTCCCATTACCTGGACACAACCTACCTGATGAACTCCAGGGGTATCATTCTCTAGCTCTTCTTGAACCTTCAGTCACAGAGCGGCGCAAGTTCTTCAGTTGGTACTCTACCGTCTATCGCGCAACTAGTTCCAACGATGGTGTATCATATGCTCTTCGTCGTGTCGAAAGTTTGTTATACCGAGGATATTTACTCCGCATCGTTGACTTGTGCAGATTTCAGATTGATGCACCAAGCTGCATTTGGAGCTATTGAAATGTGGTCGCGTGTCGAGCATCCAAGTATTGTTCGTGTCCGCGAAGCATTCACTACTCGTGCATTCAACGATAATTGTACGCCGAACTCCTATTTTACTTCTCTCGCGCTGACAGACGTAAATCAGCTTTGGTGGTCGCGTATGAATACTATCCGAATGCTCAAACTCTCTTTGAAATGCACATCAAACAGAAGCCGCCGGTATTTCAGCATGGCCGTCTCTCAACCTTCTCAGCAGCATTACCTGAGGCGACTTTATGGTCGTATATGATTCAAATTGCCAGCGCCATCAAAGTAGTGCACGAAGCGGGCCTCGCAGTACGCATGGTTGACGCAACCAAAATAATGGTCACTGGCAATGACAGGTGTGCTCTCTGACCTCGTATCTGATTCATCTTATATCTGCGCGCAGAATTCGCATTGGCTCGTGCGGTATCGCAGACGTTCTGATGTACGATCCCCGCCAGGACACCGCGATCGCCCAACAAGAGGACCTCACAATGTTTGGCCGTCTTGTGTTTGCTCTCTGCTGTAATAATATCGCAGCCATGAACACACTCCCTAAAGCACTTGACATGCTGAGTCGCCAATACTCTGGTGACGTGAAGGCTCTTGCTCTTTATTTGATCTCTAAACCAGGTCCACACAAGGTTTGTCTTTCCCATTATCGGTATAGCCTGCGTCTCATCGTTTCTCAGAATATCACACAAGTAATCGACATGATCGGAACGAATCGATTACTCCATGAAATGGACGATATGCATAGGTAAATGAAAGAAATTTACGCTTGTGCCGATGCTCATACGACAACTTAGTTCCGTCAACAGGCTTGAAGCTGAACTCATGAGTGAGCTCGAAAACGGGCGTTTGGTTCGCCTTCTTTGCAAATTTGGTTTTATTAATGAGCGACCCGTGTGCGTTTACCACTGCTCAATCTGAACAGAGCATCTCAAGCTTGGTTTTAGGTTCGCCCGTGAGCCTCGTTGGTCTGAAACGGGCGACAGATACATCATCAAGCTATTCCGAGACTACGTCTTTCACCAAGTGGACGAGAACAGCAATCCAGTCATCAATCTTTCGCATGTCTTAGCTTGTTTGAATAAGGTGCTCCTCACTTATTTGCTTGGAAAAACTTCTCATGCTCTTCCTAGCTTGACGCTGGCACAGACGAACGTATTATGCTCGTTTCCCGCGATGAACAGAGCTGTCTCGTTGTGAGCTACAAAGATGTAAAGGCTTGCATCGATGCTGCTTTCGGGTAGGACCTTATTGTCTTGTCTCGTTCTCATGTGCTTAACACCATTCAGTGATCTAGCTCGGGCATCGCGATGATCATCGATCTCTAACACGCAAAAATAGGTAGAATCTGAAAAAGACGCGAAAAATACAAAAATTTATGATTTTAATTTGGTACATCATAGTACTTTACTGCGTTGATAGTTCATCTGTCTGATCCCGACGATGATAAGCACTTTGGTTTGCTGTGCTGTCACCACAACTCCGAACTCCAACTAACTGAAGGAAAATCACGGTTGCAGTTACAATGAGTTCAGTTCACTCATGTGCCAGAGCACTCGCACGCTGGCCGCAGCGGCCTGGGCAGTTGCAACACGCATGGCGACTACCAAGTAACAATACTTTCTCAACGTCGCCGGTGCTAGCAGGTAATCGAGCTATCGTCTACAATACCAATGGTGACCCAGCTCGAGTCCTATCTGCCTTCTCCTTCCCCGAACTGCCGCCTCCGCCTCCGAACACCGCAAACATAAGGTTTCTGCTTGCACCCATCAATCCCGCAGATATAAACGTTATTGAAGGTGTCTACCCCGCGAAACCAGAGCCTGATGTCTCCCTCTGCCAAGCAAAGGATCACCCAATATTCGTGGGGGGGAATGAGGGCCTGGGCAAAGTAATGGATATTGGCGAGGGTGTTGTCGACCTGCAGAAGGACGATTGGGTTGTTATGACCAAAGCTCAGAGCGGGACATGGTCGTCGGCGAAGAATGTTGCCTTGTCGGATGTCCTGAAGGTTCCCAAGGGTCTGTCTGAGGCACAGGCTGCTACGATTACCGTACGTCTCTTCATTGTCACTCGGGTACTTTGCTTATTTCAGTTCCGACGTTGGTGAAGGTCAACCCCCCAACAGCTTACAACATGCTACATGATTTTGCCCAGCTTGCCGAAGGAGACTGGATTGTGCAGAACGGTGCGAACGGTGCCGTATGTATGGAGTTTCATTCGTGCGCTGGCAGCAACCCTTAAATCAGTATTTCTCAGGTTGGTCAAGCTGTGATCCAAATCGCAGCCGCTAAAGGATACAAGACTATCAACTTCATTCGTGATCGGTGTGTTATATTTACCAAACTTATGGTCTTGCCTCATTAAACCAAAGAGATGATGTTGAACTGCTGAAACAACATCTGGAATTACTGGGTGCAACGCACGTTGTAACATATGACGAACTCTCCGACAAGTCCTTGAGAGCGAAGGTCAAAACGTGGACTGGAGGCAAGGTATCAACTTCCTCGTCTTCCCATTCAACAAACTGAGTAGTATTGTGTAGGATATCCGCCTTGGTCTCAACTGTGTAAGCGGCAAAACGACCACCCTGATGGCTCGACTACTTGGGAATAATGCACATCTTGTTTCATACGGTGCGATGTCCAAGGAACCTCTATCACTTCCAACGTCGCTCTTTATTTTCAAGAACCTTGCTTGCCATGGGTTTTGGCAAACCCGTTGGTATAGCAACAAATCCTTAGAACAACGCCAGGAACTGCTCAAGACGCTGGCTGCTCTCATGCGAGATGGGAAGGTACGGAACTTGGATGATGCTTGTACCCCATCTCATCTCGGCCATCCAGCTTCGGGACCCTGACCATGAAGTTTTTACAATTGGCGGGACGGAGAGCGACGTCAGTGCATCTGAAAAAATTTGTAACCTCCTAGCGCGCTTAGGCCAGGGAATGTATGGGAAGAAAGTACTCTTGAGGGTCGAAGAAACTGCATGACATGAAGATGGTCCCCGTCTACTTCAGCAGGCTGTGCTCACTTGATCGTTGCCGTCTATTCCACTATATAAGACTTATTATATGCAGTAAATATTGAGGCCCACAGCTAGTGTCATAGCCATTATAATAATTTTGGTGTATAAGTTCCAAGGCCGGATGCTGAGAATTGAAGTTGGCTTCCTCATTTGGGCAGACCCTTTGGAAAGTTGCTGACCACACGTTCCTCAAGTTACAAGGTTAATTGTTGTGGAAGCAATTCCCATCTCCCTAGGCACACAAGGCCTTGTCTCTGTCGCCTACCAGAGCGTTCCCCCAAGCTTATAGCTTTCGGTTTCTAGCATGGCACAGAGTTCATCCAATGTCCAGTCTAGTCCCTATAGTTCACAGCGGAGACATGCTTCCAAACATCGTTTCTTCGTAGTTGAACTGTCACAAGCTCTTTTCGACTTCGTAATTCGACTTCTTCCAGCCCAAGAAGAGATGGCTGTGAAGGAAGATGTCAGGAAACTCCTTGAGAGGCTGATTCGCACAATCGAACCTGACAGCCGACTGCTATCATTCGGAAGCACGGCAAACGGCTTTAGCCTTCGCAACTCAGGTGAGCTTGCAATAACTTGTCTCCTGCTCGTACAGGCTACAGTTTGCCATAGATATGGATCTGTGCTGCCTCATCGATTCCGCAGAACGTCTGTCTGCATCCGACATGGTTACGATGCTTGGCGACCTCCTAGAACGCGGTTAGTTGGCATTGGAAATACGTGTCGACATTCATTTACCATGCTACCAGAAACCAAGTTTCATGTCAAACCTCTACCTCATGCACGTATACCGATCGTCAAGCTCTCCTTGGATCCATCTCCTGGGCTACCACATGGTATCGCCTGTGATATCGGTTTTGAGAATAGACTCGCCCTGGAGAATACAAGGCTGCTGATGTGCTACGCTATGATCGATCCCACTCGTGTGCGGACACTAGTTCTCTTCCGTGAGTTTAATCGCGGATTATCATTTCTCGATGATTCAACGACTCTGTGATAGTCAAAATATGGAGCAAGCGGAGGTAGGGATATCCAGTTATCTGACGCTTTCGCATCTTCTCATCATATCGAACAGAAACATCAATTCTCCGTACCAGGGAACACTATCATCCTACGGCTACGTTTTACTTGTCATATATTTCCTCATACATGTGAAGAATCCGCCTGTGCTACCAAATTTACAGCAAATGCCTCCTCTACGACCAATTTCTCAGGTATGGAGATTCATTCTTGTATATTCCTCCTGATATCGATCGGTTTCAGGAGGACACCCACATTGGAGGGCATAATACTTGGTCGGTTTTCTTGGCTATCATCACCAGCGAGGCGTCCCTAATTTCACGCTGCAGGTTTTTTGACGATATAGAACTTCTACGCCAGCGATGGCAATCATCTAATACCGATAGTGTGGCTGAATTGTGAGTCACTATTCGGTCGCCTCGTGGTTTAGAGTTTGAATTGATCTGTAAATAGGTTGATTGACTTTTTCCGATATTATTCTCGTGATTTTACATACAATACAGGCGTTGCTTCCATTCGAGGAGGTCTATTGAAGAAGGACAGCAAGGGATGGCAAAACGAGGCAGGTCACTCAGTATCCTTGCGTACTTTTACGTGTTGATGGACCATGCAGCTGACAACCAGCCGATATAATGACTCCAGAGAGCGAAATCGATTTTGTATAGAGGTACGCGAACAGGAATCCTTCTCCTACGATTGATCTCAAGTTCTCCGAATAATAGGATCCGTTTGAGATCGACTTCAACGTCGCCCGATGTGTAACAAAAGAAGGACTTTACCAGGTATGCTAGCCTTTCAGTCTAATGTAACCTTACTTATCGATGGCGCTAGATTCGTGGAGAATTCATGCGCGCATCTAGGATCCTTGCGATGCGCCCTCGCGCTCTTGTCGCACTTGCTCAACTGTGTGAAGAAAAGGGTGAAGACCCGCAAACAACGTCACCTCCCTCCGTCTTTGTCCCGCCTCGCCTTTCTATTCCTCCCCAGACGCCATACACTGTTGGTAGTAACTCCATGAGACCCAAGGGGGCATCCGCTGAGCGGCTTTCACCCCAACCTGAGTTCTTTGAGCCTGAAAATAGACATTCGGGCGATAATTTTGTTCCATCTCGTACCCCACCCGAGCATATGGCACCGAAAAGGACCCAGTGGACTAGTCCGCCCCCACCAGAAGCTCCTCCCGCCCACCACGCCATATTTGAAGATCAGCTTGACCAAGGCCTGGCATTGGCAACGTCTTCGACAATGGCGCGGGAGGCTGGGAAACCAACGTTATCTCCTGAACATTTTGATCTCCTCGGCGATGAAGAGCGTCGATTAGATGTTACTGAGTCTGATGAAGTCCAATCCGTTCAGTCCTTTACCGAAGGATCGCGTGCAATCCCCTTAGCATCCACGTCCTTTACCGAACCCGCAACATCGGCTGTTGGACCCAGCATCCGAGGCAGAGTGCCCTCGAGATCCTCGCGTCCCAGTGACAACAATGCGGTTCCGCTGACCACGAACGAGGCCACCCTAATTGCTTACAAAGCTGAGCTCATTCGTCGTTCACACTCTGGCCCTCCAAATGGCAAGTCTAATCGTTTTTCCTGGCCCTCCGCCACATCCATTGCATATACTCCTACATTCGGACCATCGATATCTACGTCACAATCCCCCCGCTTGCATGTTCCAGACACGTCTGCTTCGACAAACACTGTATTTTATGAAACCACGGGCACACAGCCGCGCTTTCCCACGTATCCCTTACCCGCACCTGCAGCATCTCACCTGTCATCTAATGTGCCATTTTACATGCGAAACTATCTTGATAAAACTGTTAACAATACCGCTACAATCGATATCTCCAGAGATGGTTCACCCTCATTGATCCCCCAGGCGTCGTTCACCCATTCACATTCACATACTCCCTCCACTGCTACAATCACCTCCCGTGTTCAACTCATACCCCAACATCTTTCGGGCTCGCCACCACATTCGCCACTGCGCAATAGCATGCATGGACGCATGGGCATGGTATGCGGGCCTGGAAGTGACTCCTCTTCGCCGACATCTGGAAGTTGCTCGCCGTCTCCTTCGCCGACTCTGCTGCACCAGCAGCATGCGGCCAATGACTTTTCACGATATAACACGTTCAATATGGTTGCTCCTCGCCTGAGACGCATTCATGCGGATACAGCGACGGTGGACCTGACACCTGATGTTGCTTTGCGATAGCGCCAGGCTCGCATCGATCGGGAGGGAAATTACTTACACGAGTGCTTATATAGACCTCGTTTTGACCTTACCACAATCTAAGACCATCTCCTATCTGCTCTTGGAATGTAGTCAGGCAACAAGCGGTCACGTTTATTTGTACAAATAGGAGATGGATACATGGACTACCAAAGAGGAATGGTACCGTTCTACTCCTGAGCCACGAAAGGGTTTGCAATCTCCTCTGAGCCGTCGACGGGACTGAGGAGGGTGATGGTGGGTCCCCGAAGGACTACAAGGTTCAGCAAGCGGGTTTGAGGTTCTGGCTCTGGGTCGACTGTCAGCGGTGTGTTCTCTGAAAGAGGAGTTCTGATGGCAGCACCATTAATTTGTTCCTCAACCCCGTCAAGGACGAGATTGAGCAATTGATCGTAACCCTTCAGGATCCCGGTCACTGAATAAAAAATCTGATCAGACGATGATCGATTATGTTAATCGACTGGCTACCTTCTCTACCGCCAGTGAATTTGACCCTTATTCTCTCATTGACGTACTTGGACAGGTCGAGGATGGCTTCCCGCTTGCCTTTACTTGAGTCTTTCCAACATGAGGAGCTACTCAAATAAGGGTTCTGGGGTGACTCACTTGACATCGGATGAAGCTGGAATTGGTCTACCTCGAGGTGGAGGACCTCCACGACCACCTCTAGCTGGAGCACGACCCTGCGATTGAATTAGATTTTTAGTAGATGAAATCAACAAGACATTGAATCGTACGCGATCTGCCATTAATTGAGTGACTTGTGTGCAAGAGCACAGGTTACTTGCTTGCAAGGCTGTTGCAGGCTGTTGGCAGCAAGACAAGAGAACGCAAAAATTGAAAAGCCGCTTGTTTGTTGAGTTGAAGGGTTTCTTCATCGTTTCGACTCTGCTCTTGATCCAAATCATTGCTGCTTCTCCTAGCACCAACGACGCTTTAACTGATCTCTCTTCTTGCAAAATCGCAAACTATCTCTCTTTTAAATATCAACGACTGTCACGTTGCTGCAACGATTCTTCAATCATGAACGCCAGCGCACTCCTTGCTAATACCCTATCTCCAGGTAGGCGGCCGTAGGCCAGTTTTCAATTTTCAAGACTTCATTCTAAGCTAATATCTGCTTTTGAAAGATGCTACAACGCGTCAAACTGCTACTCAGCAACTTGAGAGCGCTTCTAGGGAGAACTACGTGTGTTCAACCACCCTTTTGTTCATTAGCCTTTAGCATGCTCAGACTTCTTACAGCCGGTGTATATGTTGATGTTATCAGATGAGCTACGCAACGAGAATTCTCAAATCCATACCCGCAATGCTGCTGGTCTTGCACTCAAAAATGCTCTCTCCGCTCGTGTACGTAAAACGCGTTCTTCGTGACCTGTCATTATCTTTAAACATCGTGTATAGGATTCAACGAGGCAAGACGAGTACTCTGCAAGATGGATGACCCTCGATGTCGATGCTAGACAGAAGATCAAGGAGGGATCCCTTTTAACTCTTGCATCTCCACAACCAAGAGCAGGTGCAGTGGCTGCCCAAGTTGTTTCTGCGATCGCGGCCGTAGAGTTGCCCGTCGGCCAATGGCCGGATCTCGTTGAAATCCTCCTTGGGTTTATCAACACGTCTGATGACACGAACTTGAAGATCGCCACCTTGCAAGCTATTGGTTATATCTGTGAAACTATAGTACGTTTACCTTGTGCCACTCAACTTCTTTGTCCTCATTTCGCGCCACAGAAACCGGAGGTCTTAGCATTGAGGTCGAACGAGATTTTGACAGCTGTAATTCATGGCGCTCGCAAGGAGGAGCCATCGTCGGAAGTACAGCTTGCTGCGGTCCATGCGTTATTTAACTCCCTGGAGTTCGTACGGGACAATTTCGACCGAGAAGTACAAAATTTTCATTTTTTTGGCGTTTGCTTTACTGACGCGCTATCAGGGAGAGCGAAACTACATCATGCAAGTTGTCTGCGAAGCTACCCAGAACCCGTCAGTGTCAGTCCAAGTCGGTGCTTTCGAGTGTTTAGTCAAGATTATGGCATTGTACTATGACAAGATGGCATTTTATATGGAACAGGCCTTGTTTGGCGTACGACCGCTTGTTTATCCTGCCCCGAGTTCTCCTGACAGAACATACTTTTCAGCTTACTGTGATGGGCATGAAGCATTCTGATGAACGGGTCGCACTGCAAGCCGTGGAGTTCTGGACCACTGTATGTGAGGAAGAAATTGAGCTTGCCCACGAGGCACGAGAGGTACGCGGCATGCACATCTACTATTCGGACCAATCACGATATTCCGTAGGCTGCCGAATACGACGAGCCGCCCGAACTGGAGTCCAAGCATTTTGCCAAGGTTGCCCTACCGGAGGTAATTCCGGTTCTTCTTAACCTTTTAACGCAACAAGAAGAAGACGCCGACGAGGGCGAATGGAACCTTGCCATGAGCGCTGGCACTTGCCTCAACTACATGGCTCAAGCCGTCGCAGATGCGATTGTTCCTGCTGTCATTCCCTTCATTGAGGCACATATCAAGGCTCAAGACTGGCACCATCGGGAAGCAGCCGTAATGACGTTTGGCTCTATTCTGGACGGTCCTGATCCCCAAGTTCTCACCCCTCTCGTCAACCAAGCACTTCCCCTCCTGATCGGCATGATGAACGATGAGAATCTCCATGTGAAAGATACAACAGCGTGGACACTCGGACGAATCTGCGATCTTCTAATTGTAACGATCAAGCCCGACGTGCATCTTCACCCTCTGATTTCGGCGCTCGTCAACGGTCTTTCGGATCGCCCGCGCATCGTGACCAACTGTTGTTGGGCGCTCATGAACCTCGCCGATCAGATCGGGATTTATCTAGACGAATATATCACCTCCGCTTCCGAGAGCCCGCTCTCACCATATTTTGAGGGGATAGTAAGCGCCCTTCTGCGGGTTACGGAGACGTCAGTACTTTTACTTTTTTGGTTCACGTGACCTCCAGCCTGATCTTTCTTCATAGAACCGCAAACGAATCCAACTTCCGAACTTCTGCATATGAAGCCATCACGTCTTATGTCTCCCACTCAACTACAGACTGTATTCCTGTTGTACAAAACACCGTCATTGCGATTTTGCAGAGAATGGAGCAACTTCTGAACATGCAGGCGTGTCTCCTCACTGTTTAAATTTTGCTTGCATCTCACGTCCGTTTTTAGAACCAAATCGTCGGCGTTGACGACCGCAATAACTGGAATGAGCTGCAGAGTAATCTCTGCAGCGTTGTCATCGTAAGTCACGGTGTTCGTCAAGTCGCATTCTATCTCACACATCTACAGAGCGTCATTCGGAGGCTCGGCGGAGGCATTCAACCGATGGCAGATCGAATCATGACCCTCATTCTCCAGCTTATCCAAGGAGCAGGAAAGACGTCAACAGTGCTCGAAGACACTTTCCTGGTTGTTGGATCGCTAGCTGCCGGTACGTTTTCTCTCTAATCGCGTCCATCCTAATATCGAGGTTCTTCGTCAGCACTGGAGGCCGGATTCGCACCATACATTCAAGCCTTCCTGCCATTCCTGTATCCCGCCCTCAAAGCACACGAAGATACCCAATTGTGCATGGTCGCCGTCGGCATCATCGGGGACATCTCACGTGCACTTGGCGATCAGAGCGCCCAGTACGCAGGCGCGTTCATGAACGTTTTACTCGAGAACCTGCAGAGCAACGTTCTTAACCGCAATGTTAAGATATCAATACTATCGTGCTTTGGCGATATCGCGCTTGCTATTGGACCTGCTTTTGATCCTTATTTGAATACGACTATGGACGTGCTGAGACAAGCAGGCTCTGTGCAACCTAACCCTGTGAGTTAGGTTTTGGATTTCTGAGTGCGTTCAGTCCTGACTGGTACTCGTTAGCTTGACTTTGATCTCATGGACTATGTTGCTCAACTACGGGAAGGAATTCTAGAGGCATACACTGGCGTCGTCACTGGGTTCAAGAACACCGAGAAAGGTTTGCATTTTCCTTGTGGACTTATCTTACCGTTCACCGTCGTCCCTAGCACCCGCACTACTCCCACACGTGCCTAGCATCCTCGAGCTCGTCCACCAATGTCTAGCAGACGAGGAGAGATCTGACTCCGTCGTAAAACTCTCTTTTGGCCTCATCGGTGACCTCGCAGACTGTTTCCCCAACGGCCAGATCAAAGAACACCTGCTGGAGGAATGGATCGCACATGAATTCCGTAGTAAGCGTGGTATGCAGCAAGAGACAAAGAAGACACTGCGGTGGGCCCGTGAAGTGAGTACTCTTACCTGCTCTTCGTCTCCAAGAACACTGACCTTCCGCCCAGATGATCAAACGCGCGACCGCATAGACACCCCTCCCACGTTAATACATCTCATCCCTTGCACGCGATCTATCTCTCATTCTCGTTCTCACTTTTTTTCCTCATCCGTCAGTTCAATCGCCATCTGAAGGAGGCACATGGATATCATTTTTGCATCTGCATGTAATAGAAGACGGTCTTACTAGTGTTTTTGTTCTTTTTTCTCTCCAACGAACTCAAAAGCTCTTGTTGCTGGAGGTGTCACAGGCAAGAGTCTGTCTACATAAGCGGTTTCGTACCCTCGCCTTTGTATCCTTTATCGAATTCTCTTCCTATTCCACACTTAGTTAGTTATCGTTCCTTCGAGTAATCAGAATCAGGGGCATCGTTCATGAATCTTTGTGTAATACAAGATTGAATACAAGGAGTACATACATAGCGATAAGATCGAAAAAAAGTGACGACGATAAATGGTACACAAAGCAAATCTAAAGCGACCCAGAGAGAAATTAAATCAAAGTCTGCTTTCCAACAAAACAGTCTCTTTCCTCCATCCTAACGCACCACGCCCAAACGCAGCTTCAAGAGCCTCATCGATAGTCCTGACAAAGAAAAATTGCATTTCCCGACGGACTTCCAGAGCCACGTCATGTTCCACATCTTTACGGTTCGCCCACGGTAGGATCACCTTGCGGATCTGTGCGCGGTGCGCACCGAGCACTTTCATTCGAATTCCGCCTACGGGCGTCACGCGCCCGCGAAGAGTGATCTAGACAGAAATCAGGACGGGCTTCGTATGTAGTATCTCAGGGCACGCACCTCTCCTGTCATAGCAATATCCTTCGGAACACACGCCCCGCTCAAGAGAGATACAAACGCGCATATCTAGTCACCCATCAATTCCCTCCCCCCAAAAAATACTACGAAAAACGCACCATAGCAATTCCCGCACTCGGCCCATCCTTCTTCTGCGCCCCAGCAGGCAAATGCAAATGTACATCAATCACATCCGGAACCTTGAGCGGATCAACCCCCCTCCCAGCCGTAATCCCCAACTCAAAAGCATGGGTCTTCACCCAACTCAACGCGATCTCCCCACTCTCCTTTATCACATCGCCTAAGCTTCCCGTAAGTTTCAACCTCCCCGTCCCCGGAAGAGCGGTGCTTTCGACGGGTAAGATACCCCCCTCGCCCATACCGGTGACTACGAGCCCGTATACGACGCCCCGTTTTTCTTCCCGGTCGCGTTCTTCGCCATCCCACCGGGGTATACCGAGGATCTTTTCGAGTTCGTGGGGTTCTACGGTTGCTCGCCATTCTTTCCCGACACCATTCTCACTTGCATTCCCGTCCTGTTTCTCGTTCGCGTTCTGCTTCGCAATCGCATTCTCATTCGCGTTCCCTTCCCCTCCCACCGCACCATTCCCCTTATCAAGCCACTCAGCCCACTCCACAGCCTTAAACCTAACAACAGCCCCAATTGCCCGCTCCAAACTCCTAACGCCCGCTTCCCGCGTATACATCGTAGCCACATGCAACAACGCGTCATCGGTCAGCGTTAACTGAGAATCCGAAAGCCCATTGGCGCAAATTTGCTTTGGGAGGAGGAAGCGTTTCGCGATGTGCATTTTCTCATCGTAGGTGTATCCTTGGAGTGCGTTGGTTTTGATATGATGGCGATGTGGGAAAGCTCACCTGATAACTCCACCACCTCACATCGATCTAGCAAAGGCGCAGATATCGTGTCTAGGGTATTGGATGTGCATATGAAAAGCACCTGACTGAGGTCGATAGGTACATTGATATAATGATCCTATGCCAATCATCCCAATAGTCAGTCAAATTCACCACAGGCAATACTGATGCGAAGGGACGCACGTTAAACGAATGATTCTGTTCAGGATCGAGAACTTCGAGGAGAGCAGCAGCCGGATCACCATGGAAATTACTATGTCCTACTTTATCCACTTCGTCCCTGTTCAATTTCGACATTACAACCATCCCTCACTGTAAATTCCAGAGAAGCCTACAATAAGATCACGGGATCATTTCTGCCGGCTTTCCGGAGAGCTTGAACGATGGAGCCTGGGCCAGATGCCACATATGTTCTCCGGTGTCCCCTGTTATTAAACTCAATTGCTGAGTAAGGTGAGATAAGGGGATACAGACCGGATCTCTGCTTCGTCCCGAACGCCACCTAGTGATATGCGCTGAAACGGTCTCCCCAAGGCCTTTGCAATAGATTGTCCGAGAGAGGTCTTTCCTGTCCCAGGGGGACCGACGAACCTGTATACTGTTCAACAGTTGTGTGCATGATATACAAGATGCACGCACAAGAGTATTGGTCCCTTTACGCCCTTGCTCTTCGTTGGCGGGGTGGGGGTAGCACCTGGGGAAGTATCCGTTGAGGGAGTGTTCCCTTGAGCTTGAGTTTGAGCTGCATCTGCAATGGCGCGCAAACGCACGACTGCGAGATATTCCATGAGTCTACGTTTTATCTGGTCGAGGCCGTAATGGTCTGCGTCCAGTTGTGCGCTAACAGAGAGTGAGCAGAGAACGGGAGATGAGAGAGGAACTTACCGTGCTCTGGTGAGGAAACTGCGGTCCTTTAGAACGTCGAGAGGGGTAGTCGTTTTGTTTGATGGCCATGGCACGGATGTGAGCCATTCAAGCTGTACAATGCTGAGTATAGATCCTTGATATCTCAAGTGTACTCACGTATGAGCGAATAACGCCATTCTCGACGCTTCCCTGAGGAATCCTCTTCAATCTGCGCCACTCGCGAATGCCAACTTTGCGTTCCTCTGAACCAACGTCTAGAGCTTCAATCTTGCGGCGTAAATCAGCAAGGTCATCTGCATCTGCCTGATCGTCATCATCCAATTCGCTTGTAGATCCTCCTGTACCGAACCCAGTACCAACACTAGCAGGAGAGCTTTGTAAACTTTGAAGCTCGCGTTGAATTGCTGCTAATTGCTGACGGAGAAAGTATTCCTTCTGTTGACGGGAGAGGGACTCGTCTACGGCTGATGCGATCTTCTTTGATACTTCCTGAATGGAAGACTGTTTGATGAAGAGTTCTGTAGCACAGCGGAGACGGTCTTCTACGTCTGTAGCAGCGAGGAATGCTGAACAAAAGAATTAATAAATGGATATAAGAAATGAAAGATACTGACCGAGTTTGTCTGGGTATTGAGATGACACAGCAGCGACGAGGACGTCTGCCATCCAAGCAGCGCGTTGTTCTGAGATATCCTCTACTATTGCAGATACTCTTACCCAGTCGTCTTTGCGTTGTGGCTGAGGAGAGTCCTTTGCAAGACGGTCGAGGAGCACGAGAGCAGCATGTTTGAATGCTTCAACTGTATCTCTTGACGGTATTCCCTCAGAAGAAGGATAGACAATATTATGAACAGGAAGAGTTTCTGATTGGTCTATCTGAGTTGGAGTAGGAAAACGAATTCTTTGGATGCCATGGAGGGAAAGTAGATAGGGCTGAGTGGGAGAAGATTGATTCCTTGGTCTTACAAGACGGGCTATTCTTGCAGCAGTTCCGTATGTAACTTCGGAAGGCGAGTCTGGAGCTGGAAGTGGAATTGCAGCGAGAACTGCATCTGAATCATCCAAGAGCGAGAGAATGGCATCAGCAAGTGAACGACTGATAGGAAGCGTGACTCGAGCAGTTGGTAGTAGAATTAATGGATGAGGAAGCAATAGAACTGGAAGTTTAGGTGATCCCATCACTGTTGTCGTCGTCGAGCTCAATGTCGGTTGTTGTCGAGCTCGTCGTCGTTGCCGGTGACCCGGTATTAAGTCCACTGTCCACAATTCACGTGATACGTTACGCGGAAGTCATGTGATCACGCGTTCAAAATGAACCAAGTATTGTTCGAATTGAACCATTGTGCAAGAAGTTCTCGTCGTCGTCGACCATGTGGTCGAAAATAAGCAACGCGCTCAAGCCAACCAAGGACATTGACCAAGATCAAACAACAGACGTTCTATCAAGAGTCTATGAGCAACATCCAAACCTATCCGTATTCCACGAAACTACGAAGAAACTCGGCCTACCCAAGAAAGTTAGATCACATCTTCATTTGAGATCAAACAGTCCGTGCTTTTTCATTGCATTGGTTTGTATTCTGACCATTTGAACAGGTTCGCAAGTGTCTCTCGCTCGAGGAAGTTCATCTGACACAGTTCGAGATTCATCTCGTCCCTCACTCGAAGGCAGCGTCAGGTCAATTCTCCGTGATCCAAAGACACCAGGAACTGGCCAAAACGTCCGTTTCTTTTCTCGAGATGCCTACAAAGTCATCAGTCCAGACGCTTCAGCTTCCTCATCCGAACCATCTCCAATCTCATTTGTAGACCGTCTAGCACGAGTCGCTCGTCCTTCTGCAATGGACGTTTTCGCAGAAGCAGACACTTCCAATTTATTCAACTTGAGCCCTGGAAATGAAATGCCACAAGGGCTCAAAACGCCAATGCTAGACACGGCCATCGAAATCCCAGTAGGTTCCCCTCAAGAAACTTCAACTCCCTTCAGAGGCCTCCTAGAAGTACCCGTAGACCCTTCCTTCGCTTTGTCTCCCACAAGCTCTACCTTTTCAGCCGAAATAAGCATCCCACCTACTTCCCCTCCCCCACGAACCCGTCGCTCCCGCGCACTCAGCGACACGGTATTCCAAACAATGCTAAGGAAACACGCACCAGAGGCAGACATCAATGACACCTCAAATGCTTCACTCGTACTCGTTGCAGAGCCACCAGACCCATTCCGCGCAAATGCAACAACCTACTACACACCAGGAACAATGATCCCCCCTACTCCTCCTCAACCAACACACTCCCGCGCAGCTTCCAAAGAGGAAGACATCATCTGGAACCTTCGTACCCAACTAGCCCTCTCACAAGAACTCTGCGCGCAGTACGAGATCGACTTGGGAGCTAGAGATGAACTCGTCCAAGCTCTCACCCACCGCGCAGATGTCGCCGAAAAGGAAAAAGAAAAGAGCAGGAATGTTTTACGCAGCTGGAAGAAGAAGGCAGGTGAACTCGAGCGCATGTGTCGCACCCTCGAAGAAGAAGTCGACACCTCCCGACAAGAAAGCCTCGAGCGCAGCGTCATGGACGAGGCAAGCGGTGAAGCCCTTCGTATGCTCCATCGCCAAATATCACAGCTCGAGCGCGAAAAGGAGGCGTTGCAAGACCATGCGGATACCGCTCACCTACGCGATCAACTCCGCGAGAAAGACGCAGAACTCGACAAACTGCGCGAGGAGATCAAGAGTCGGGATGATGCAGAACGTGTGTTGCGCGATGGGATTCAGGAGGCTAGAGAACAAATGGATTACCTCACAACAAATTCTGTGCGGTCTTCGATGGCTGAGGAAGCTCTCATCTTATCAAACGAGGAGGAACGAGAGAGGCATTCGACCATTGAACACGCATGGGCAGAGGAACGAATGCGAATGGTTGATGCTCACGATGCTCTCCAGACGGACAAGAACGCCCTCGCTGACGCTGTCCAGCGTATTTCTTCAGAGTTAGAGCGTATCAATTCAGAACACACCACCGCCATCGAAACCGTCCACAAGGACCTTGACGCAGCCCACCAAGAATCCGCAGAACTCCACAACACCATCGAAGACCTCCAGAATGACAACGAAGCCCTTAAATCCGAACTCGAAGCTCTCGAAACCAAGCTCCTTAACATGGAAGAAGAATGGAGTGAAGGGGAGAACCAACGCGTCGAGCTCGAATCAGAGCTCCAGCGAGCCACTGAAGAGGTACGCCGTCCCTCTCTCTCTCCAATTGATCTCACTTGCTAATATATCACAGCACGAAACCCGCATCACATGTCTAACCGCCGAGCTCACCTTCGCCAACGAAAACGTCTTCCGTCTCGAATCCAACATCAAAGAACGCGACGCCGCCATCTCAACCCTTACTACCACCCTCCTCACACGCACAGATGAAGCCGAATCCCTCCGGGAAGAACTCACCACCATTAAAGTTGAGCATTCCCGTGCTTTCTCCTCCCAAACCCGTGCCCTCCAAGATCTCCAAACCCAAGAAAAAGACCTGCGCACGCAGCTTGAAGTCGCAGTACGGGAAAAGGCAGAGAGTGATATCATGTTGGGCATGAGTAAAGAGCGCGTGGGGTCGTTGATGGATGAAGTTGCGAAACTGAGGAGGACGGTGCATGAGATGCAGCAGACGAGTGCTGCGCGTGACGTGACTATTCTGCAGTTGCGCAAGGAGCGGGAGCGGGATCGGGAGGATGTTAATGGGCTTAATATTGCTTTGGATTCGAAGCAGCAAGAACTTGAACTCGTGAGTCCTTCTTCAATACCTTTGGTTTGTCTTCGTCTCATGTAATATTAGATCAAGAGGAAGATATCATTGAAGAGTGTCGCGGTGTCAAGTACGCCAGTTCCAAGCAGGGTTATAAGGCGTGAATCGATGATTGGAACGCCTTCTTCATCCCGACCTCCTTCGTCTATGTCAGACGCATCGAAAGATGGGAAATCGGACACGCCTTCTACATCTTTAGCGCCTCGCGCGAGTTTCAGTGCTCTCACCCGCAGCGTGCGTATTAACGCCACCACCAACCCCCCTGGTAAAATGGGTCCTCCAGCTCCTAAATCCCGTTCATCACTTGCTACCACCACACCTCCCACCCGAACATCCTTGGCTTCATCTACTACATCCCGCGCACCTTCGTCTCTCGGCAAATCAAACACGACTCCGAGACCCAGTGGTCTTGGGACGGGTGCGCCACGGAGAGTGTCGACGAGTTCTGTAGAGAGTAACTTGAAGACGCCTGTTGCGTCTGGTGCGAGGAGGGTCAGTGCTAGTTCGAGTGTGCCGAGTGAGATTGATGAGAAGGAGAAAGAGAATGTGACTGTGACTGTGAGCGCTAGAGGGGTGAAGACGCCGAGAAGGGTTGTGCCTGCTTAGACTCGTTGTGCACCGACCCAGCATCGCCATCGTACCGCTTCAAGTTTCGACGCGACATCGATGCAGACCCCGCGGAGGGTTGTACTAATTTAGACCTCGCCCCACCCCGTCCTGGCATATCACTAATCCCCGCCCGCATATATTCATCCCCCTCAATTGCTCGCTCGCTCTCGGACACTCCTGCATTATGCATATTTTCTTGATACACAGTACTGATCCGACGTATAACGTTGCAGTCATATTTCAAATCTCAAAGTCGAAGACGATACCCCTCCCTCACGCATCTGCACTGTTTTATGGCCATGGTACCGTAGCATTATTGCATCGAATCTTTTGTATGCCCCAGCCTCCTATCTCTCATATTTTTATCTATTTTCCTTTCATACCATTATTTCCCTCTCGTACTTTTATTTTCCATCTCGTTCTCTGATTTATGGTGATCTGTATGCTGTATGCTGTGCCTCTTTTTGCCTGGCTGGTTAGTTGTGTGTGCTTTGTAGTTGATATATCTATGCATCGATGATTTGGAGAGATTTGTGATTTTCTTTGCTCGTAACACGCAAAGAAACAACCGTGACTATCTTTTCGTTCGAACGAGGCTGGCTACAGCTACTTGGGAGGATGTACAGTTACAGCGCAAAACTAATGTTTTTCCGTTACACCGTATAGCCGAGTTCAAATTGAAGCTCTTATTTGAACTGTACTAATATTGTGTGAAGCCTGAGTTCAAAGACTTACTGAGTCACGGTTGTCCTTGCTCCACATGATGAATGCCGAACGTTTGATGAACTTGACAAGCACGAGTTCCTACTTCAAGAACATCTCGGGCTGTCCCAACGGACTTGTCACTCCTCGCTGCCAGCGCTAAAACTCTTCATGAGACGTCATGCGAACTGTTTCTATGCAAAACTAGGACACGGGTCGTGATGTGACACATTGATTGTATCACGCATCCCTCAAGACCGTCCACACACGTCCGATTTTCACAAGGAGTTAGGTGTTGCATTGCAACGCTAGCTAACGGGTGTCCTGCAAATGCATCTCAACGCGGGTCACATGGCCGTCGTGTGTCCAGTCACTCCCGCTTCCGCTCGTGATGACGTTTATTCGAGTGAAATATGGGTAGTCAGGTCGACAACTCGCCCTACGCACAGAGATATGTGGACTTCATTTCGCCCAATCTCTTACCTATAAGTATCTCGAAGTTCGCCCAGTTGTCTGGCATCTTTGTGATCCTGTCTCTCCTTCTTTCGGTGTCTCTGCCTAGTAAACATGAACACACTAATATCTGTCCTTTACTACTTTGGTGTCATAGGCCTCGTAACTGCCCTCCGTCCGTCACTCATTGCAAGGCAGGATGGACCAACTTCTGTCTCTTGCCTCTCCCTCCGAAACAGCTGTAACGCAACCACGGTTGATTTCAGCAACTTTTACAACTACACGTCATGTTTCCTCTTAACTGCATGTTCATCAGACGTTGAGAACCCTGCGCAAGTCCTCGATGCATCTGGCGCGCCTGCGACCCAACCCCGGCTGACTGACACCGTTAGAAAAAAATTATGATTCGTGTTCTTTGCTGATTTGGTGTTACAATAGGTTTTCTATGCCATGTCAAAAGGGAATTCATACATGACGCAACAAAACTACATTGATGCGTATTATAATCAAATTTCCATCACTCCCGGCGGCTCCTACCCTGACGAGTAAGTCTTCCTACGATATATCGGGGTTCGAATTCTTAACGATTTTATTTGTAGTGTCACTTATATTATTGATCAATGGATGGCCATCGCTGCTTGGACCGGTTTCTGCGCCACCGGAAACATTCCTTACACAAGCCTTGCTGTTTGTACTCATTGCTTTTGGACAATAATCTCTCTCCTTACACGTCTTCCAGGACTGGCTTGAGTATTCATCTGTCCCTGGAGTATGCCCCTCAGTGGCATCGTGCAACGCTACCATAGCGGCGTCATCCATCCCATGTGTCCCTCAACCGGCAGCAGACAATGGTTCATGCGCTGAAATGGTTGCCCAATGTCAACTTTGGGTGACCCAGGGCCTCTTCCAAAATGAATACTGCGTCCTCGCGAGTTTCTGCTATGCGTGGAGCGACACTGATGTTCTGTTGCAAAATGAATACCCGTCCTATATCTCCCCAACGCCCAAGACTAGTCAAGAGGCGACGCTTTCCGAAGCAGTATTCTATAATATGACAGGTGGAGCAGCGTTGATGACTGAACAGAACGCGGTCGATGCATACTATGCAGGCTTGGTATGTTTTCTCTGAGCTGTAGTGTCAATCTGACGAGCTTTCACATCAACAGACAGGCACATGGAAATCCCTCGGTGGACCTTTTGGCGCAGAGACGTCCCAGAAAACCAACAACAATGGGCCTTATCCTACCGCGTGAGTTGCCCCGAGATCTCCAGAGAATGATTCAGAATATGATTTCGTTTTCAAGTGTTGATTATGTCGTTGAGTTCTGGGGTATCATCAGCGCATGGACCGGTTTTTGCGATACACGCGCTATCCCGTATGCAAACCTAGCGAATTATCTCACCTATGCAGCCACCAGTGGCTATCATCCAACTTGTTAGGGGGAAATCGAGTCCCAATACGGACTCTGACCTGCGGATACAAAATCATCTCGAATATCGTGATATCCTATCTTTACAGATGACATCGTGTCGTATCAGTACCTAGCCTATGTTAAGTTTGAATGATAGGACAGCCACTCACTCTCCAAGCCATACCTATTACTGTATCACGAGAATGTTGTTTAAAATTCATCCGACTTGATCTTTGGATAATTGTTGACCATCTTTGCTCGAGAATTATCTTTGTGGTTTGCACCCATGTGCAATCTATCAATCAAATGCGTAAATGGAGTAAAATGTCTCTGGCTCAAGGCGAATAACCCGAGAGTGCTCATCATGGTTGCGTATGATCCAGCACAGAATGCATGGAACTTGACTTCGGGCTTGTGATGAGCGACGTGCAGGGAAATAATCCCCATGCTGCAGCAAATTTATAACACATATAATCTTATGATGACCTTCAAGTTGGAGCGCCGTCCATCCGCGTGTCTCGTGTGGTTCTCGCGTGCCAGGGCACAAACTTCAAGCCCACCGCTCCGCTGCACCTGTTGGAGGCTGATTACTAAATATTAATTTTGGAATGGCTTTGCTCCATATGATTACTTGATATGCATCATGCATCATGTCTCGGACCCTGAGCTGTTTGACGTCCGTCGACTTGTCATTTCACGCGATAAGGCCATGGTTATCACCAACCTAGTTCACATTACAGCTTCGAGAGTATTAGATGATGACATGCCTCGTTGTTTCAGCTTAAGCCCTGTAGTACCCATAAGCATGGCCGCAGCTCAGTTCCCCAGCTCATGCGCATAAGCCCCAATAGGCCCTACTTCAAGGCCCGGCCAGGCGACACGGGAAAGAGAGCAAGATATTCATGTCCTTCGAGAAGTTCACCCAAGCACCATTTACCTTTCGCCTTGAACTGTTCCAACGCCTTGGATGGTTCCGCGTGATCAACATAAAACTCCGTGAATGCGGATGAAACAGCCCCAGTGTGTGAGTTCTCCTGGAAGAGGTCACCACGAAGTTGCGCGCCCTTGATGTAGTCAACGGGGGAGGCCTCCAGAACATTCACTGCATGTTCACGAATGAAAGACAAGTCGACTGCACACACGTCAACATCTTGAGTCAGTGTTAGTTATGATAACTGACTCGATGTAGACAGACTCGGACTTCGACATACTGGCATACTTTGCTAAAGCAGTGCACGCAGCGGGATGAGACGAAACAAGGCCGACGGCTGTAACTCTTTGAAACAAGGGGTGAAGCTTGAGGGTTTGCAACAGCTGAGTTGCAATATATCGCCTACGAAGATTCCTGTCAACAACGAGCTGAGTGATCCACCCGACCACACCTGTAACGATTTGAACTTTCGAGACATCATAATAATGCACATATGGATGTACCTCCTTCAAAAGACCAGACACTAGCGAAGGCATGGCCGACAAGTTTCTCATGCTGAAAACACGTCACAAGGACAGTATGATCTGGAATGGATACAGATTAACTTCGCAACTTGCTATCAGTCATCTTGACTGGTTGACCTGAGAAAATGAATTAAGCAAAGTAACAGAGTGTTCAATACGGGTGAGAGCTGACCAGGCTTGATGTACTTCGAGACACTTCTTGCTTTTTCGCCCCAAATTCCGTAGTTGGTACTGAAAAGTTGCGCGCACGATTTCATGAGATCGTCGGAAATCGCAGTACCTGATATAGCATTATAGGTGATAGACTCAGATGTCAGGCTGGAGGCAGAAGTAGGAAAAAGTTGAGTTACGGACATTGGAAGACGAAGGAGAGTTCTTCTATGTGGTACTGCTTAGTACTTATAGCCACCCGCGTAAGCCCCGAACATAATAAGCCAGGCCTTTACCTCATTGTTTGGACTCAAAGCGCACCAAATTTTGCTACGAGCCTGCCTGCTGTACTTAGTAATAAAGCCACGTTCAGATCACACTCAGTACTCCAGGTCTAATTACAACATGAGTTTTGGCACCACACAAAGTTGTTTGTCTGTGTTAGGATCTAAAGCTATTGGCTTCGGAATGTAAGTTACTGCTACTTACTACTGCCGATTCAAAATCTGACTCAACTTTGACTCAAACTCAAGTCACTGTACCAGGTGACTCATATTCAAAATTCTGAATCATTCTGCACAGCATCTCCTTTCCTACATATGCCGGACACGACGACCCCCTAGTCCCTGTCCATCATCACCTTCTGCATTTTGCAGGCATACATCTAATATGTCAACTCACTTGCGCCCGGAGGATTCTCAACTCATCAATGATCTGCACCGGCTCTCAAAGAAGTCGCCAAAGCTGGTACGATCAACGGTGTACAACGCGCCTTCAGATCCCTCCATCTCTGTTCGAAGCTGGAAGATGAACGAGTTCAAGTACTATGACATTCCATCGCCCTTTCCAACACTAGCGAGAGGTCTATTCAGCCGAGAACTTCCATGTGGAGATGACTCTAAGGGAGAGCAAAAGTACCAAATCGTAGCTCGGGGGTATGATAAGTTTTTCAACATCGGCGAGGTCCCGTGGACCGATGTGAGTTGTCTTTATGTCAAACTGCCCGACATCGCCTCATGTGAATTCGTTCGCAGTGGTCAACACTCTCCTTACATACAGGACCCACGTATACGCTGTCACTCAAATCTAATGGATGTATCATATTTGTTGCCCCCATTTCTCCTTCGAAGCTGATCGTCACGTCCAAACATGCACTGGGTCCGATGCAAGGGGTCTCAGAAACGCATTCCGAGGTCGGCCATCGGTGGCTCAAGAAGCACTTGGAAGAAAAGGGAAAAACTGAGGAACAGCTGGCATCGAGATTGTGGGAGAAGAACTGGACAGCAATTGCCGAGGTATGCAATCCATACAATACGATCAAAAGTTCTAGAGTCAACTGTTATCCCACAGCTTTGCGACGACAGCTTTGAGGAGCATGTACTTCCTTATCCTATCGAGAAGTCAGGTCTACACCTCCACGGAATAAACGAAACTTCGAGGGAATTTCATACCATGCCTACAGAGACGGTTGACGCATTCGCAGAAGAATGGGGACTTATCAAGACGCCTGCCATCACCCTGAACTCGATAACCGAAGTAAAATCTTTCACTGACGATATCGCGAAAACCGGGAAATGGAATGGGGAAGCACTCGAAGGATTTGTAGTCCGTACGCACATCATCGATCCAAAGCAGGGGTCTACCACTCGCAAAGCGCGCCCTCCTTACCCAACAGGATCCTCTTTCTTTTTCAAAGTAAAGTTCGATGAACCGTACATGATGTATCGCGACTGGCGGGAAGTCACTAAAATTCTGTTGTCGACAAAAGGATCACTTAATGACGTCAAACTGCCAAAGTCGAAGTTGAAGCGGAAGGAGACGCGCCTTTATATCGAATGGGTAAAGAAGGAAATAAGGCATAATCCCAATGCGTTTTCGGAGTATTCGAAAGGCAAAGGCATCATTGCTACTCGCGAGAGATTCTTGAAATGGATGGATACCGACGAAGGGAAGAAGGGGTTAGTTGTGGAGAATGAGGCGCCGCCAACCACCATGGAGTTTTGGAAGACGATAATCTTACCTGTTGCCATTCCCGGGTGTGGTAAGCACTCAAATTTAGTCTCGTGCCTTTCTTCACGGTTCCTGCTTCACAGGCAAGACTGCTGTTTCCGTTGCGCTTGCTTCTCTATTCAATTTCGGACACACCCAGAGTGACGATATACAAGCAAAAAAATCCGCCTCCGCGTTCATTAGGAATGTTGTCAACCTCTTGAAGCACCACGATGTTGTTATAGCCGACAAGTATGGATCATACTTGATCTCATGAGTGCCCTCGTGCTAACCCGCTGCAGGAACAACCACCTCAAGCAACATCGTGACTCCCTACGCGAAGCTGTTGTCAAAATGGACCCCCCTGTTCGTCTCCTCGCATTGAATTGGTCGCTTGATCGACCTCAAGCGACAATCCATCGGATATGTAGTGATAGAGTTTTTGCGCGTGGCGACAAGCACCAGACTCTCCGCGCTGATACCCTGGCCAAGGCGCATGAAGATGTCATATGGCAGTTTATCCGTACTTCGGAGGAGCTTGCCGACCAAGAGGTAGACGTGAGCATAGAAATGGACATCGAAGATACCCTTGAGCAAGCTGTAGGCCGTGCAGTCGCTGCGTGCGTCAGTATGCTCGATCTTCGACAGCCAAGTGCAGAAGAGATCGACGAGGCCGTGCGCAAGGCCCGTGACTATGTGCCTCAGTCAAAAAAGTTTCATGAAGAAAAGAAGAAAAAGAAAGATGAGCAACCTACGCCGCGTTACTTCGGGCTCCTCCCCGAGGTCGATCTCATTGATGTCATTGGGAAACAAATGGAAGATGCATCGGACGTACCAGAAAATGGAAAAGCGTTCTGGAATGCTCTCGTTGCCGAACATCGCGTTACTTTGCGCCCCCACATCACTGTAGTGCACAGCAAATCCCTCCCCGATGCCATTGAACTTTGGGAGCGGTGTTCACAGCTCCATAGAATGGCACTTCCTCCCTCGTTCACCTTCACTCTCGGTCATTTGGTCTGGAATAAACGGGTCATGGCCATCACCGTGGATGACTTCGAGTTCGACGGTTCGCCAGACAATAACTCTTCCGCAAGTCAGGAAGGGAGTGAGTTTGTGTCGAAACTGTCGGAGGCAGTCCGAAATTCTTTACACATTACGGTTGGAACAAACGATCCTCAGGTACCCCCTTTTGAAGCGAAGGCTCTTGTGGAGGCATGGCGCTTTGGGAAGAGATCAGGTATTGGCTCACTCGAACTTGATGGGCTGACGGCGCGGGGCAGAATGAAAGGACTTTTTAATTGAAGGTGCTGTAGTCTTGTTTCTTTAAGTGATGGCTTCATGACGGTACATACAACGTACATACAACGTACATCCCCACATCCCCTCTCATCAACATTTAGTTAAACCAATGAAAACTGTATCAATACTAATGGCAAGTCAATAGTACACACAACTCAATGTAACATCCTGGGGGAAATCAAAACACGATGCGTGGGCTTCGGACGTTACTATCGGTCAGTGAATATCACGCAGATGTGAAGTGCAGATGGCGCTCACTTCTCCCGATCGGTCTTACCCAAGTCTTATACTATCTCAATGTAACCTCATCAAAGAGTCTGCCCTCCGTCTTTCTTTCATCTGAACCAAATATATCCTATAAGCGCGAGTCCCGCATCAACGAACCAACGGGTACGTATTCACGGGAACGCTCCCTCTCGTCTCGGATGCAACATAGAAGACTGCGAAGCATCCATTATCTCTCTCCGCAAGGAGATGAAGCCAGATTCCTTTGCAAAGAAATCACCTCCCAAAAAGTTGACCAACCCCGTCCCAAATCCGCGCGCTGCAGCTTGAAATTGCTCCTCAGGATCGCGCGGAAATAGATAATAAGTTGAACATGAGCAAGGAGCGCGCGAGCTCTTCGATGAATAATATCTTCGAGGAGCCGCATATCTTAGTCTAGTCTCTCAGACAGACCACAGACGAAGTATTTGCACATGGTTGTCTGCATATCCAAAAAGTAGCAAGATCCTCACTTCACGAGCGCATTGCCCCTGCGAGATGTGTCAATAAGAATTACCAAAGTCAAGTCAATGTTGCACGTACCTATTGACCATAGCTTGTTTGTGCATCAACTCTTTGTCAGTAATAGCTTTGCTGTCTCCATTAACAACAGCAATAATCTCTCGTGCTAAACGCTCCTCCACCGTCTTCCCACTCTTGTTTTTGCTGGCGGCTAGTACAGCATGAACACCTGCCCTTATGCGCTGTTTTTCTGTAAGCGCGGCAGGTCTCACGACGTTCTTTCCTGAGCGCTTCTGTGAAATGCACTTGACAGCAGGGGAAGCGGTGATGAGAGCATGGCGGAGGATAGGTAACGGCGGCGCGCGGGTAAGAGCATGAATATAAAGGAGGGTACGGGAGACGATGCGCTCGGCCCTTGCACGCTTTCCATGGTTAAGCAGGGAAGACGCGAGGAAATGAAGAAGGGGGTCGGATGCTGGTGGAATGAACATTTGTGAAACGTCCGGAGCTGAACTCTGAATTGGGGGCGTGGGGGGAGATAATATATCTGATAGCGATGAAGTCTTTAAGTCGAGACTTGATGAAGACCCCATTAGAGAGTCAAGTAACGCTGCACTTTGGTTGAGTGTCCGTTCATCGGCGATAGAACTATTAGTACGGCGAGCAAGGACTGGGAGTGTGCGTCTCAGCGCGACAATGGATGGAGGGATGCGTTGAGGATATGATAGAAACAAGTGCCTCGACGCGTTAAACATTGCTGGGCGCATTGTCACTAACATCGATCACGAAGAGAGCCGAAAGCAAAGAATCTAACACAGACTTGACCAAAAACAAACAGGGCACGGTATTTGCCGCGACGTTCCAAACTGTATACTACTATCGGTAACAGTGCAAGCACTCATCCCCGACTGGATTTTCACTCCGCATTTTATTCCCTCGCCATATGTACACGTGTGGATAATCCACGCTTTTTCGGCAGTAGAAATACAGCGTTGCGTGGCATACAAGATGGTACGTACTTAACCTTCCTCTAGCGAGTCGGGGATACAGGTTGATTAGTCGGACTTCTCAAGCATTTAATACTGACAGTGATAGAACGATCACCGAGAATTTCAGAGACGAAAGTCGAAGCGCGAATGACATCCAACGTTGTTACACTGAAAATCCGGGTTATGGAGTCCTATTGATGCTGGTCGTAGGGTGTACACTGCAGCTACTGTACAATGATGGGGCATGTGCGTGATCATCCGAGGTGCTGGTCAGGTAATGCCAGACGGTATACAAACTGCCGCATGCCAGCAGTGCTTCATATCCGCATACAATGGTGACCATATTCAGGATCATTTTCGCACTCCCAGGTCATGGTATGGGCCACTCTTTCATTGGCATGGGGGGATTAAAAAGCCATTCGTAACTTGGATGGGTGATTGTAACTTACAACAATGAATTCTTTCCAATTTTTCTTTGTGCTCATGTCGCAGACCATACTACAATTACCTGACCTGTGCATGTCTGACAATGCACCACTCGTCCTCAGTGTTAGGGCTTGTCTTATTGTAGTAGGAGTAATTGCTTGGGCTCGCCGTCGTAAACCAGAGAGCGACCTTCCTCTCCCACCTTCCCCTCCCACTTGGAGACTTGGGGGGTACTTCCTGCCGCGTCACCAGTAAATTTTCGTATTCAACTTCTTGATTTTAAATACTAACTATTTTCATCGCTGATAGTTCATCCCTTACCATAGCGGGATGGATTGACGAGTACGGTCCTCTGATCACCATTCGGTCAAAATTTGAGAGGATTATTATCATCGGCCGTTACAAAGTCGGTCTCTATATGCTGGGTTGTATTATCTTGGCTCAGCATTCTGTTGCAGGCCGCCGTGGATATTATGGAGAATCAGGGAAAATTGACAGCTGACCGTCCTCGCATGATTGCAGCTGGAGAAATGTTTGGCGGCGGGATGGGCATCGGATTTGCATATTGGGGGGACAGGTTCCGTCGTATGCGTAGGTTAGTAGTCCGCAACACTTCCTCTCGTCTGTCTTACTTTTCAATGTGGTGCAGAGCACTTCACACGCATCTCCAGCCTAAAGCGGCTGCGGCATATCAGCCCCTGCAGATGTCACACGCGAAGGATACAGTCCTTGGCATTCTTGATGATCCTCACGGCGACTTCCAGAAGCATGTGATAACGTAAGAGTTTTCGGTTATATTATACTTTGCTTACAGGTGATTCTAAGTTATGCTGCGACGACAATCATGAAGATTGCTTATGGGAAGACTACGTCCACATCTGCGACTGATTCTTCAGTCGTTGAAATTCGACATTTCGTCAAGACAATTAGTGCGGTCGTGCGTCCTGGTGCTTACTTGGTGGATTCAATTCCGTGGCTCAAACACATTCCTTGGTATAGGCGAGACTTAAGACGGGGGTTCGGAAAGACCAAGAAACTCAACCTTGGTCAGCTAAACTGCGTGAGGGACCAAATGGCATGCATTTCCTTTTGAATCTTGACTTCATGTCTGAGTCGTTCCACAGCAGAGCGACATGGACATCGGCCCTTCATTCGTGAGATATATTCTAGAAAATCGCCATCTCTATGGTTTGTCAGACACCGAGATGGCCTTTCTTGGTGGTTCTTTTTTTGCAGCTGGATCCGAGACGGTGAGGTGTTGTTTTGTAGCCTCCGAAGATAGTACACGACTGAAATCAGGCGAAAGACCTCTACGGCAATCTGTACAGTACTTATGGCAGCTGCATGTTTCCCTGAGGAGCAAGCTCAAGTTCAGGCTGAGCTCGATGCGGTCATCAGAAGGCGTCGAGGTACCTTGATTGCCTATTGCAGCGCTATGATTCAATAATTTTTGTGTTAAAGCGCCCACCTTCGCTGACCAACAATCTCTTCCTCGCCTGCAAGCATTCATCTCTGAGTCTTTGAGATGGAGACCACCCTTGCCTACCGGTGGTGTGTATCTTGTTTCGATTTTGTTCCTTAATTTCACAACATTCACGCTGCAGCGCTGGCTCACCGAGCAACTCAGGACATAATTTGGGCAAGTGATGCTGGGTCAACTTAATGCGCGAATGATGATCTGGCCTCTCAGGAAAACTATTGTATTCCAGCCGGGACCTCGATATTCAATAATCATTGGTAAGCATCATGCTCCAAGGAAACTCACCAAGGATCTAATGGTCACTACCCTAGGGCCATCTCTCGAGATCCAGACGCCTACCCGGAGCCTGACGCGTTCAAGCCTCAGCGCTGGATTGACGAGCAAGGTCACCTGCGAGTTGATTTAATATTCTTTCCCTACGGCTTTGGTCGGCGGTAAGTACCATCTTTCGGCATTCCTTCTTTGAATAACATTTCCTTCCAGCGTATGTCCCGGTCAACATGTCGCACAAAGGTAAATAAAGCCACTCTTCCATGCACATCATCTTCCGAGCTCACTCTGATCAAACCAGATCGGTATTCATCAACTCGCTCCTTATTTTTTGGGCTTTCCGGCTCACGTTGGATCCTACGAAGCCATTGGATGACATGGGGCTGATGATCGGGGAGAAATCAGACAATCCGTGTACTATCAAGTTTGAGGCAAGGATCCCGGCAACGGAACTTAGGTTCTTGATGCGCAATTATCCCGACGGAAATGGACTTCGAAGCAGTTCGGAATGAATGGCCTAACAATGTTACTCTTACCGCTATCGCAGTTTGCTTCTGGATGTGGCTGATTCATGCATCAAAGCTGCAAGGCGGAAAGGGGAGAAGAAGAATAGGAATAATTGTCACTTGTAATACCAATTCACTGTATCCCTGTAGTTCTGACACTCCCGAGAAGCTCGTGCACACAAAATTGACCGCTCGCGAGGCATCTTCAGCTGGTCCGGATAACATCAAATCAATGAGTTTCGAGGCCTGTTGGGCCGATCTAGATGACCGACTTTGACTTTGGGAGCAAGGGCGCTGTAAGACAAACCACTGCCGCCTACACTCAGGAGTCCTATTCGACATCGACAATTCAATAATCATGGGTATGACATTGTTATCACAAGCCGCGGTATAACTTATCAGTGAAGCAAATTGTGACGCCTGTAGGGTCAGTGCTTCCCCCCAATTTGCTGCAATGCAGTACCTACGTGGCTTCCCCTGCAACCTTTGTGTCGATGTATTTGAATTTCTGGGCGCTTGCGCGAATGATAATTTGACCCATACTGCGTCATAATGTATTATACCACATAAATACCCTAGAATCAATTCAATGCGCCAAGTCGAAAGCATCCCGAATATATATCACGACATCAAGCCGGGATGACGCCCCACAACCTAAAATCTCTACTGCTTGCGCCAACAGAAAACGAGATCTGGCCGTCAGGTTTGCGCCAGCCTTGAGCAACGGCGTCCCAGATAGACAGGTCATAGCGCGAGAGTATGATCGAGACAGGTTTCGTGTCATACGGTCCAATTTCAACATTTGTAAATCCCTTCAAAACTGAAGGAGGTCCGCAGGCGGAAGACGGGTGGTGGATGTAGAGTTGAGGAATCTATTCGAAATTGAGCGCAAGGATAAGAGCGACTAAATCGGCAAGTTTCACGAACCTCAGTCCCAGACACACTTCCAGTGTTAGTGACCATGAAAGTGACCTGGAATGCAGGCTCGTGGAGCCTGGGAGCAATATCAACCCGCGGATCCATCACTTGTCGTGAAAATCTCACCAAAGCGCAACAGAAGACCCTTCGGCAATGGGCGATGCCTCCCCGCCCTCCCACGCGATAATCAAATCCTCTTGATCAGTGTTCGACGACTGAATAGCAGCCACGCCGAGGTTGGAGTACGAGAACGTGGTGTAGCTCAAGCCGAAGCCAAACTCGAAACGCGGCGTGATATTCGCCTGCAGTTCCCCTCATTCAAAAACGTGAAAGCATAAAGCAGCCTCGGAATTCTCACTTGATCAAAGTGGCGATAATCAATGAACAACCTAAGAAGATCGTGAAATTGGCTTCAGCTTAAAGCGGCCTTGGTCAGGTGTACGTACCCCTCCGTGTAATTAATTGTCATAACCTCGCTTCCCGAACCATTAGTGACGAGTTGTGCGGGATAATCTGCGGGATCCTTGGCGATCGTATACGGAAGTCTTCCAGAAGGGTTGTATGCGCCATAGAGCACATCAGCAATAGCACTACCTGCTTCCTGTCCTTGAATGCCGGCCCAGACGACGGCGGTAATGTTAGGATGTTCGATCCAGGGCTCCACAATAAGCGGGCCGACGCTGTTTACGACGACTATGGTATTGTTGTTTTGCGCGGCGACAGCAAGGACGAGGTCATCACCATTGTTCCAGGCGGTGAGGTTATTGCTAGCTAGGAATGAACATCATTTTCCCTACTAAAGATGTGGAGAACGTACCGATCGCCGGGATTGCCATCGACAGTCATGATACCCTCGCCAGAGTCGGAAACGGTGAAAACCAAAGCAACAGCCTGGCCAATCGCCATGGTACCAGCCAGATCAGTGTTCCAGTCGTCAAAGTCCCAGGACACACTGCTGCCATCCTGGCGAGCACGCTCCTGGATACCCTCGAGAGGCGAAATAACGTAGGAAAAAGTGCCAGTTCTATGGAGCATCCATCAGTACTAATGCTCAGGAACAATACCGAGTATTCTGAGAGCCAACATACCCAGATCCCCACCCCTCCGCTAGAATGCCATCAACACCACCCCCGAATAAAAACTCGTTCGGACCAGATTTGCCTGGACCCGCATCACTCCCGATCAGTACCATGTTCTTGGGTTTGTTCAATGGTAGCGCGCCATTTGTATTTTTTAAGAGGACCGTCCCAGCTGCGCCAATCTCCCTTACAATCCTATAATGGTCAGCCTGCACATTCACATGCTTGTTATTCACTTCATCATTCTGATCATACGAGTTGAAGTTCGTCGCAGGGTACTCCTCGTCCTGGTGCAGAAAGTACCAAGCGGCGATGATACGCGTCGCCATATCGTCCAGGCGAGCCATACTGATGTACCCTTCGTTCACATAGTCCGTGAGGTTACCCCCGAAGTAGGATGCGTTGGAGTCATAGAGATTCCCAGGTATAGTCATGTCAAGCCCTGCAACAGCAGAGAGGGTCGTCGTCGTTGCAAAAGAGTCAGACATAACGAAACCTTGGAAACCGTACTCCCGCTTCAAGATGTCATTAAGCATCTTGTCGTTGTTGCATGCGTAAGTATCGTTGATAAGGTCTGCGATTCAGACCTCAAATAACGCGAATGGTAATGGCATAAAGTATGACGGCTTACTGAAGCTGCACATGACGGACGAAAGGCCAGCCATGACACTGCGCAAGAACGGGTGCGCGTAAATCTCATGTTGAGTCCTATCATCAACATTCGAGGATTCCACCGCGCGAAACTGCTCCTGCTCACTATAGGAACAGATAAGATAAGAACCTGTGCAAATGGAACAAAAGATGAACGAACTTGTTTATGAAGTGCTTGGCGCAGGATTGTACTCCACCATGTTGCAGGCCTAAAACCGTCTCATACGCAGATTCGCCAACCAGGAAAGGGTCAGCACCGAAACCCTCCCAATTGCGGCCGCCCTGAGCGACACGACCCATGTTCATCATGGGGGCAAGGGCAATATTGACTCCTTTGCCTTTGAACTCCTGACCCAAAGCCAGGCCACGAGCACGCATTAGAGCACGATTCCAGCTGTCATAATGCATAACATACATGATCAGAAATGACATTAGAAAATGTGATGATGACTTACGTGGACGCTACCTGAATACCAGCTGGAAACACAGTCGTAAAATCTGCACCACGGACGGCGAGAGGCGAGTCCTACATGGTTAATCGTCAGATAAATATCAAGAAAAGAAAATTCAAGCTTAGGCCACGCACCTGAAGACACAAACCAGGGAAGTTCTTATTAGGCGCGATATTCGCACTGCACAAGCCAACCCCAAAACCGACTCCAGTGGTGATATTGACTTTTTCTTCGATAGTATAATTTGATATCTGGGAAAGCACGAGGTATACTCAGCACAGGTCAACATAAATTAGGTGATTATGGGAAGGTGTTTGAAGATTCAGTTTGAAATCGACAAAAGAAGACAATCAAAATATTAATGATTGAGCGTTAAAACGGATGCACTGACGAGGTTCCTGGCCTTTTGGTACGCAGTAGTCCACGCAGGCGCAAAGTCGAGTACAACCTGTCGATCGCTGCTGACATTGGGAGGATTCAAAGGGTCGGCGGCGGGGAAACCCAGCTGGCTAGGGGTGAGAGTAGGTGTAGGGTAAGGAGTGAATGAATAGCTAGAGAGCGGAACGGTGATGACACCGCTCGAGATGATGGTAGGAGGAGAAAATGAAAACGGCGTTGTGGAATTGGGAGTGGCAGAGGACAAACCCGCAACTAGACCAAAGGGAAACATACACAACAGCGCCAATAACTTGGGAAGCATATCGGCTGCACGCTTCATATTCTGAAGCTTAATCGTATAATCTGGCAACAGCAGTGGAAGGACTGAGACATTTTATCGACAATTCGAACTTGATTTATAATGGAACAACGACTCGGAAGCAACTGACCAGTCCTGTAATTGGGAAAAACTGAATTGCAGCACGAGCTCAGGGCCACTCCATTCTAAAATTTTAGAATTGAGCAGGACTACTAGAGTAACTGCTAAGCAGTCACTGGCAGCACTTAACTGTTATAGTCATTAGGGTCCGCGTATATATTAATTTACGAGAGGATGACTGTAGGACTTGAAATTTTTTAGAATTGAGCAGGGCTAGCAGCTACAAGGCTGCTAGTTACAGCAATTTTAAATCGTTACACTCACCTGTAGTCTGGAGAAGCTTAATTTCAAGTAACACCATTCAACAGACTTCATATGTCGATACGATGATGATGATCACATTGTAGTTCTATAGCTATGCACAAACGTGAAGCACCCGCTTTGTTTGGTAAATGCCGCAATGCTTTCAAGGGAAGGTAAGGCACCCACATAAAAATGGGTATACATAGGAATCCCGGCGATCGGAAATGGCAGGGGCGAGTCGCGCGCACGTCGGTCGAGTTCATGCCTACCCGTATTACAGGGCTGCTCAATTCTAAAACATCAATGTCGACTTGACCCTATATGGCTGTCCTCTCGTAAATTACTTACATGGACCCTTAAGGCCTAAGCTTTTCCTAGGTGGTGCGGGTTCGGGACCTGTCGACAATATTTTTTCCCTATGACCTGAAGTTGTGTATCATATGTAGTACAATGGCAGTCATTTATGTATTAATTATTGAGAGCAAAATCGAATTGCATGTGTCTTCAAATACTCAGTAATGTGGTGATATCTACTCTAACCTAAAGTTCAGAAAGGACAGAAAGCCTAGCGGGAGCTGGAAGCAGACGAACTTGTTTGTCCAATGCGTGAAAGACGCGAGAACCATCTTATGAGAACCCCAAAGCAGCCGATGAGTCCGGAACATGTTCAATGCCAACGGGGCAAAGGTTTGTTACTAGTAGCTGCACTTGTACTTCCCGGTCTGCAACGTTATTGGGGTGGCTCGGTCGATCGCATTAGATGTCCCTGCTGGTAGCATGTGCTTACTGGAGAGGAGGACGTGGTGGCTGCGTCAACTCATGCCCTTTTCCACTGTGAGCATTAGCAGCCCGGGTGCACTACGAGACAATATCAGTATCACGACTCGATATGGATGTCGAAACATTAGGAAAAGTTACATATTTGCCTCGTATCGCAAAGATATCCACAAGGAGAATCCTGCGTAGGCGAGTATGGCCCTGGGGAGTAGAGGAGCGAGAAAAGAGACTATTGATATTCTTCATATTCTTCATTCCGGACCCTTCGGCGTGGCGAGTGGTGGTAGCAGCGCAGTTGTTGCGTCCAGGTAGAGAACATGGATCAAACTGTCAAAGGATGGTGAGACGTGTACCCTACTGTACCATATGCAATTCTCGTGGAAGAACTCTTGATTATTGCCTTCGACGTTTGGTACACTGGCAATGTCGTACATGCAGCGGAGCAGTTGAAACATTAATAGCTATTATACAACTGACAATAATAGTGAGGTTCGAAGAAGCGCACTCACGTGAGTCACGTATTTAAATTCATCCATGCATATTGCACTTCCCGCCATTCGTACACGTCTCAAGCCCTATCTGGCCACAACCATTTCTCATTGGGGCTCATATGCATAAATTCCACAACTTCACGCACATATGTACGCGGTGCATCGTGCGAGCGATCTCTTTGCAAGCTGAAGTTTCGCTGCACTGTCCTCTTGGTCACATTTGGGCACTCATGCATCATGAACCAACGCCATGAAAGACCATGATTTCCTAGTTTGCCAGACCTATGGAAGAAGCAAGCTAGTCACCCCTACACAAAAAAGAGCTGTTTGCAAGTGCCTTCCTCGCGCCAGCTAATGCCACTTTTGATGGTCCTTCGGTTCTCAGGGTTGACTTGTGCTGTGTGGTCAAGCCGCGGCGGCACATACTCTCTCAAAGTGCCATGTAAGCACATCAGTGTCTATGTCAACCGTTCCATAAACTAACTCATGGCATCATTGACATATCCCTAGCTGCATATCAACGGACTGTACAGCTTCAGTATGACTGGTCACCAAAATGGTTGACGGTTTGACTCATGACATGTAACTTGACATCTTCTTGTATTTTTGCAACTGCAACAAAAAATTAACAAAAAACACCACGTACGACAGAGCAAGGTCACAATCGGCAACGCCAAACCCTAGACATGTAGATATTTTATACAAAAATGATCCAATTAATTGTTGTCTCCTCTAGGCCACTGGCAAGTTGCCGAAATCATAGTTCTCCGGTTTTTTGCGGCGTTCAAACATTCCGCGCGAGTCACTGCTTTGTAATTTCATCAACAACTTTTACCTTGATCCTATCGGTATCTCTGGATGCATATCGCTTTTCTACTGAGATTCATGCTGAAACCCTTACTTCGATCAATCAGATATCACCCCTCAAATCTCACTTTGGCAATGTAAGCGCCGGACGGTGGTATATCAAGCACGAATGCGATGGTTATACGTCTGCCAAGTTCCCCCACTCGGTCACTCCCATCCTCTAATAGTATGACCCTAGTCTCGAACGATCTCAGTTGGTGGCCACTCATCAATGCGAGTTTTATTTTCAGCTATTTCGCAGGTCCGTAGGGAGTCAACCGCATGACGACAGTGACTGACCTTCGTAGTTGCCGCCTCTGTCGGGGTAATGTACGATTGGGGTGAGCAAGACTAAGTACGAAAAGACGACTGACATTATAGTGTTTCTAGGACTTACGTTCGGACAAGAGGTACGTCGACCCATTACTGGGGCAACCAACTCGCTTAGAATTGTGTTATAGGTTGAACTGATTTGGGTGAGTGGATTCCTACCTCAAAAGAACGACGTGACCATACAACTTCAGAGTCAACGCTGGTCCCTGATGACCTTTCTATATCTCACTGTATGTACTTTGTATTTCAATATTGACGCTTAGCGAGTACAAGTTTTGTTGACTTCAAAATATCCTAGGTGCGCTATGCTGGAATAGCATATGCTGTGTGCGTTTGGAAGTTTAAGCCATTGGTGTTACTCATTAACCATCTTTCATGATCAGGGTATACATGCTGGGTATGTATCGCATAGACTCTGTTTCTTTCTTGTGACGGGCGGCATGCAGCCAGTGTTCCAACCATTTCGATGACAGATGCAGTGAGTATTCCGCACTGGTGCCTTCCATTCTCGTGCAAACACTGAACTACCATGCAGGGGTGAGTGAGATTCTCGAACAACTCGTTGATTCATCACAGCGACTCCCTAGCTGTCAGTTTGTTTCGAGCCTTTGATCTTCCGAAGCTGATAACTAATGTTGCTGGATTTGTCAGGTCTCATCATGTACAACGCAATTGATTGGACGGATGACATTGTAAATATAATACTGGGCGGTGAGCTATACACCTCCATGACGTTGACTTGACTGAAACATCATCCAAGTCATCATAATCGCTCGGTTATATGCCATGTATCAGCGATCCAGAAAGGTGCTGATATTTCTCGTTGTCATCTTTCTGGCCATCAGACTCGCCAACGTAGTGATGCTCGCAATACAGGTGATGTATATTTCAGGGGGTAAGCTTTAATTATGTATGAAATGTTTAAGCACATCAGGCTCATTGAAAAATACCAGAGGAACTCGTTCTTTCTGGCACCTATCAGTGCATGATAAGTTACGCGGGAGATTCCGTATTTCTGGGTTTCATGACTTGGATACTTACCACTGTATGGGAGGTTCTTGTTTTGTGTCTCGCGGTTTGGATTGCTGTGAAGCACTTCCGTGAACTACGACAACACTCAACAAGCGGTATTATTGGGGACTGTTTCACGATGTTACTGAAAACTCACGTGAGTTACTTTGCGAGGTGAGCTCATAATGTGAATGTGGTTCTCTTGTTCCGCTGAAGTTTGCACGTGCTAGTTTTCTGGCTATCTCTTGCTTCCAGATCGGTTTCTTCTCTTCAATGCTCTCAGCGGTATGTCGAGCTGTTACCGACCTCTACATACGACCATGATTTATTATTTCTATAGGACACATTCCCTGGACACTCAAATTTATATTGGTCTCGCTCAGATCTTCCTGGTCATGCAGATGTTTGTGCTGGGACCACGCCTGATCCTTGGTGTTCGAGAATACCACGCTGAGCTCGTGGCCAACTCTGATACAGCAACCGCTATGACTTCAATTGCTGTCCAGGAGCGCGTCTATGTATCAACTAGCAGTAGGGTGTAGCCCAGGATATGCTCGATACGATTGATTTTCGATGGGCGGATAGTCTGTAGGGAGGGGGAGAATTTGTTTTTATTTATTCTAGGTTTTGTTGTGGTACTTATTTATGCAAGTTGCGAAGTAGATATGGGTCATATAAGAACTTTTAGTGAATTACAGGTAGAGAACTCCCCCTCATGCTGAGGTTCACGCACTCGATCTCAGTAGTGCTATCAAGATCGTAGCAGTTAGTAGAAGTCTGTTCGTTCCTGGTGCCATCGCTGAAAGATGGCTGTTTCCAGGATCTCAGAGAAGTACTTGACCACTCAAGTACTCAAGTGGCACCTGTAGACCCCTTCAGCACCCCCGTTCATCCTAGCTGCTCCATGGTTACCACACTGAATACCTCTACCAGGAGTTTGGCTAGTTGATCAGGCTGCTTCATTGAGGGCCGAGCTCATGTATGATGTGGATCCAGTGCTGCAGTGCCATCGACCACATCGAATTGGGATGATGAGTGCGAATAGCGAAACCCGTGCGGGCGCAGAAGGTCCGACTGAACTCGTGTTTGTGCTAACGACTGAGCAGGTCCCAAGTATTAGAGTACTTTGGACGGAGGAGCAAACGATGTTGGTGTTGGTATATGCGGGAACACGCCTAACTGCAGGCATTTGGGCTTGTCAGGATTGCTGAGGAGGAATTGATATAGGCACTAAGAGACAAGGTGTTGGGTAGGCTGAGATTGCGAGTGAGGTGATGAGCGGATGAGATGAAAAAGTATGAGCAACGCGGCACCTGAGGCCGAATCTCGTAAGCGGCAAGGAGACCCGAAACGCAACGGTCAACCACGTGGGAAGAAATGCAAATTCGGACTCGACGTTCCAAGGTTTCCTTAAGCTTGAATCCTTCTGGCCAGGTGAAATGCAGTTACTAGGCTTGAATCTAATAATAGTCTCAAGACTCAGCGCAGACAGCAATCGGAAAGGTGTGTCCACTGTCGTCGCCATCTGTAAATCCATGATCGTCCAATTGATCTCACATGCGCGGAGCAGATAGTCTACTGTAACTACTACTTCTGAAGTTGCATGAGAGTGATGCGATACTCGCGGCGGTGTTGGCAATCGTACGTCCTCATCTAGTTGTTTCTTATCTTGGCAACATATATGCCATACCCCTTGTTATCATCTTGCACCATGTGCTGCGTGCTGTACAGTTTCACCTTCGACACTCAGCCACAGATCCGCATATTCATTTATCAGCAGCGCCGTCGTGTCGTCTCACCTCAGCCTTGTCCTAAATATCACGCTAAGGTGAGCATCTTATACTAGTTCACACTCTTAGTGCTCTCTTGCTCATTCATGTACCTAGACTCGTCTCGTTCTAGGTCCTATCAAGCGGTGCTCGGATCCCGGATGAACTTGACCTTTGAGAATTGAGCAGTCCTACTAGAGTTGGGATCAATAATATGCATACAAAATTCCCACCTAATCTTGGTCTACAACAACTCGGACTTCACGTGCAGACTATAGCATGTGTACTGGTATATTGCGCGAGCGATCTCTTTCGCTGCACTTTGTCTTCTTCAAGGGTCACATTCGGGCACTCCATGGAAGACTGTAATTCGAGCACGATCCAATTGATTCACAGCTAGATCGTTCTTGAAATTAGTTCTTGCCAGACCTGTGGAAGAAGCAAGCTAGTCCGAGTCGCTCCTTCTACACGAAATGGTCCTTTGTTCTCTCGCGTTCTCAGGTTGAGTCGTGCTGCGCGGTCAAGTCGCGGCGTTGCATACCCTCTCAAAAAGTGTCACGTAAGCACATTCAGTGTCCGTTCCATAAACCAACTCATGACATCATTGGCTGCATATCATCGAATTTTACACCAAGGGATCGGTACTTGATACGGTTGGCAAACACATGGAATTATTCATGTACGCCTCTCGATTAGACCGGACATTTACTTGGAATACCTTCATTCCGTTGCTACACGTTCAACCTTGCTGTTATCTTTGATGGCTGTTAAGGTGACCTCCCTATCCATAACCAAGACTTCGTAGAAGCCACGAAAGAGCCCTGCCTATTCAATTCCATCACTCGGGCCGTGTTTTTCAAGTTCAACGAGTATGTGTTCGAATTCTGGCTTGTTAATCCGCCGACTCTAGAGCTCCACCAAATCATCCGCCATGAAGTTCTCCCATCCAGGCGCAACCAATTTGCCAGACCAATAATGCTTCCAAGTTTAGTTTTTCCCACAACATTGATATCATTTCCTGGATATTAAAGCAAGTCTCTGTGCAGAGTCCCCTCAGTTTTCAAAGCTCGTGTAAATCACGCACTCCCCCTCCCCCGTCGTCGTTACTACTGCTTTAGCAGCATGCGTTCTCCGTTACGGTCTTTGCAATGCGGACAGTCATTGCTGCGTTAATACCAATCATTGTGTTCCAAGTGACACGGTGAGTGGTCTACTTTTTGCATCCAGGATTAATATTCGACTCCCTTGCACCTTACAATATCGATAGATTTATGGTGGCAATATCTCCAATTAGTCTGCTCACCAATGAGGACTCTACTGGATAGTCACGGTGAATCGTGTTACTGCTTTCGCACAATTAGTGCTGTGGCTGATGGCACCATTCGTTGACGTTGCTGACTTGGTCGATGTGGTCGTCTTGACAATTGCACATTTATGTGCCTCACAGGCAGTGGAGGCAGCACCTTCAGATTGATAGAAATGATCTTGAACGCTCGATACGAATGAATTTGATATTGACTGACGTGAAGAGCGATTTCAATGTTCAGATTTTGTACTGTCAGGGATTATGTTCATCGCCGAAATCTGCATGCACAGCGGCTGTAGCAGTTGAGAGGACAGTTTCATCGTCCATTCAACATCGTCTTTTGGACTCATCGACGCAGTTAATGAGACTAGTCACTGCGGATCATCCACCCGGGCTTCTCATGGACGATTCATATCCAAATGTATTCTGTCCTACTTTTATCCAAGATCTTCGCTGGTCTTAATCGGACTTGACCTAAGTACTCGCAAGTCAATCGCAGAACTGACTCGGGCAGCCACTAAACCAAATAATCATTTACCAAGGTCCAAGATGAGGGTACGGAAACATCCAAGATGATACACGCCATAGTAATATCGATATTGATATATTGGACAGGGGATGGTACTAAACACGACATAAAAGAACTCGCGCATATCAATGCTGCGACAGAAACAGTAGTAGTAGTAATACTCCAGGTCATAGAATGCCAATAGGTAAAGAATAAATACAGTCTCGGCGCTAACAAAACAGCAACTCGATAAGGCACAACGAAAAAAAAGGAAAGAGATAAATCGATCATGAACGAGTCGTCACATAACATAGTAGAATGTACACAACGAGCAAAACTCATGATTCACCGGTGACGGTGATAGAGACGGGCGTATCTTCAGATGGGACAGTACGCCTAGGGGTGGCTGCGCGTAAACGTACCCTTGACTCTGCAAACGCACCGGGCGCGTTGAAAATGGCTTCTGCGAACGCAAATGCCACTACGACAGATGCTGTCAAGAGGCGCCATTTCTGACCGATAACATCTACGCCTTGGAGGGACGCATTGAGGGCGCGGAAGGGGTAGGCGACATGGGCTGCCAGACGAACAATAGAAGCTGAGAGGGGATCGAGTGCGATGACTCGTGGGGTCCGGGCGGATGTAGAATTAGCGGGGTGGAAGGAGACGAGGAGGCCGAAGATGAGGGGGATGAGGATGGTGGGTATCGACCAGTGGATTAGAACGGTCCAGAAGGGTGGTTGTAAGAAGGTGCGAGCAGGGGGATAGGGGATCGCAAGGTAAAATTGACTAGGCGAGCCTGGTGCTAGCTGAAGTGGAACTTAGACGCGTGAACTGAGGGTGAGTGCACAAACACTGACCTCAAAGGTCTGCCATGGAATAATCATGTAGAGGATGTAGAATAGCTCGAGGAGAGCAGTGATGAACCAGATATTGGTAGAGTCCGAGAGGACCTAAAGAACACGTGTTTAGTGTCTGACTGTCTACAGCAAGTTGAGACTTACGGCACGCGTTGTCAACAAGGTGGTTCGGGTGTGTTTCTGCACGCTGACTTGTAGCTTTGCGAGAGATTCACGAGCCACTTCGGCGATAGGTTTGGAGGCTGGACGCGTTTTTTGAACGGACGCGACAGGTAGCGCGCTTTCTGGTTTACGTTGCTCCTTCTGGGGAGAAGGTCTAGTAGATGTGGTAGGAGTAGACTCAGCGTCAGGGGATATGGGAAGATTCTTGAGCATCATAGATACGTTGCGCATATCGTCTACAGGGGTTGTCTCACGTGGGTCAAGGGGGACGATACGACGACTGCGGGTGTTTTGGGGGCTCTTCTGGGGTTTCTCTTCCCGTTCATCTGGTGAACTGGGGATGAAGCGCCTGAGGAAAATATGAGGATGAGAGTTATAATATTGAGGGGACTAACCCTATAGGAGGTTGTGCGCTCTTCTTCCTCTTCCCGTATAAACCAGAGAACGTAGGGTCATCTTCATATTTGGATTGGTGTTGTTCGAGATGACGTTTGATTCTGCCTTGTAGATCCTCTCTTGTTCCAGAATCACTGATGTCCAGAGCTACTGCGATAGCCTGAAGATCAGCCTTCTTCTTTGAAGGAATTGTACCGCTGAATGAGATTGGGGCCATGAGGGTTAGATGGAAGTGTGATGGTTTGAATAATTCGCGTCAACAAAGTGATCACGTGGGACGCGGGTCGGAGATAGTCTCCTTCAGGCTTTCACTCGACCAGCTGTGTGACCCTGTGTATGTCAAACGAAAATAGAGAACCAGTGCTCAGTTAAGCGCTTTGCTAGTCCTCAAATACCCTTGCAACGTTTCCTTCTTTCCCACTATAACGTTCCCACTTTTCTAATCATGCGTATTGCTTTTGTTTCTATTCTCTTGCTTGCTGGTCAAGGTCAGTCTCCTGTTACTCTCTCCGTTATCCTCATATATATAACGTCTTCACAGCCCTTTCTTTATCTATCAATGTTGGTGGTTCTCTCGGAACTATCGATGCGACCCAATTTCTCAACGTCACCGATACATACCTTTTGACCGACGTAAGACACACAATCCCAATCCCTCATATCCCCTTCTGACCCTCCATCTATCAGTGTCAGACCCAATGCTCCAACGCAAACGCTCAAATCACTGTATGTCCCCCTTATTCCCTTCCCTTCTTTATCTAATCTCTGTCAGACATGCGCAGCCAATGATTCTTGTCTCTGCGCATCCAACACAGTCACCGCTATCACTTCCTGCGAGCAATGCATGTTCACCGACTTGATCGCAAAGTTCGCAACTAGCACCGACCCCCGCGCTGGTTCAACCGCTGCTCTTACTGGTACCTTTCTCCCTTTTTCCATCTCTACCTTTTATTGACCCCTTCTATCAGCATACGCCACCGCGTGCTCATCTGCAGGCTTCACAGTCCCTTCTTCCCTTGTTACCTTGTCCGTTCCTTCCAATTGGGATGGTCCTTTCGGAGTTTCCCTGGGCACAGCCTCCACCGCCTTGATCGTTGCCGTTACTGCAGTCCTGGGTGGAGGCAGTCTTCTCCTGTTGTCTAATTTGTGAAGGAAGCACGACATCAGTCTCGTCTTGTAACAATGATGTCTTATTTTGTTATATATAACAATACGTTACACCTGTCGTTTCACCAAATGAATGAACTAAGTCGGTAGTGAAAAGACTGCGCCTTCTACAAAGGACAATATTTCATCTGAAACTGTCGGGATGGAAACACCACCGCCTGGATGGTTCTCGAAAGGGACAGCTGCGGGGTGAGGTTGGACGGAAGTACGCAAAAGTGGCTCGAATCGCCATAGAACGAAAGATACGCCCGCCCGCCCACGACACCGTGCAGATGAAGATCCTTAGAAACATGAAATCGCATGTACTCGGATCATTTCCTCTCATAATCTCGCGAAAGATCGATCTCTCCCTTCAAATGCGTGTTCGTAATCTTCGCTTGTCTCTGTCGTGGTGCCGAGCGCTTTCCCTTCTTCTTCATGTTCGACGGTGCTTTCGGGATCGGCATCTCTTCCGCAGTAGCCTGCAGCCCCTCTGTATCGTATCCATCAGACACCGAACCAAAAGAGATAATAGGAGAAGCGTACCAGCACGCAACGCTTTCAATAGATCAACATCATTCGGCACTTTCAACGAATGCCACAGATCAAAAAACTCTATCCAAAAAAATCAGCAGAGCGCATCCTACAGCACCAAACTTACCCTTCTCGACTTGCTTTCCCCCACTCTCATCATCCGGCTTGATTTCATTCCAAAATACCATCCGCAACTGACCATCCTTCACAGTTCTCGTAACAAGCACCTCTCCCTCCTTCTCCAGCTCCTCAATAGCCTGCGGTGCCTCCTTCCAAGACTCCTTGAGTGCGCGCACGGGTATCCCACCGCCTTTCCGCGTCTGCCGCTGGATCTCCGTCAGCAGCGCAGCCTTGTTTCGAAAACTGAATTCGTGCTGGCGGTGCGTCAATGGCCGAGAAGAGGAAGAGCTGGCGAGATAGACGCACTCGGTACGAATAAAGATCAGTCTTCGGATCCCAAAGAATCCTATCGTGCGACTTGAATTTCTCGAGGAGGACCATGTCAGTCTCTAGCGGCGTGTTCGTGACAATGGCAATGTCCTGAAGACGCATAGGGTTATGCGTCGACTGCAAGCCAAACCAAAAACCAATCAGCGCGCGCATCGCACGATGAAAAGTAATGCGTACTTTAGATGATCAATAGCATACACAAGTTGCGTATTCACATTCGTCCCCGTCCCCGTATCCGCTGGCTGTGAATACACGATATCTACGAGAACAAGAACAACGAAAGAGGGTTAGTGAAGTCAGAACGCTTAATAACGAATAAAAACTAGAGACAAACGTACTAGTCTTCGGCCGTTTCTTCTTGGCGCTAGGTGTAGATGTCGATTCCGACGTAGGGTGCAGTCGTGGGCGCGGGCGCAGGCGCAGGCGTAGAGATAGAGCCGGCAGAAGAGTTAAGCGGAGCAGGTTGCGAGTGCCATGAAGAATAGTTTTGACGATGGAGGACGCGCTTGAATGAGTCTGTGTCTTTTCCGAGGGACATGGTAGTTGAACGATGAAGAGTCAGAGTGCTAGTGCTGCTATCTTCTTGGACTGTACGAAATAGGGAGGATTCATTGATGTGAAATAAATTCCTTTTTCGATTAAGACATTTGCCTTGTGGCTTCCTTCAAATTTGGTCCTCTTGTTCTGGAATCTGCCGTCCTTAGTCGCTAATTCTTCGCCTGTGATTACTGTGGTTCATCTTCAGTCGCATTACATTTGTGCAGTTTGGTTTCGGCTTGCTGACTCGTGACCGAGATACTCGCGTTCGACCCAGATTTTCGTTTATCTTCTCTCTCTTACCTTTGAATACATGTTTCGTCGTAACTTTCATCGTCGTTGATTCGTCTCAGGATGTCCATTTTCTTGCGCAAGTCCCCGTGCACACGTGCGCGAGTGTTTAGCTTGCATGATTGTCCACCCCACGATGTTGAACACGAGACACCCACGTCCCCATTGTTTTATAACCCGTTGTATTACCCTCGTACTCATCCCACCATTTTTGCGACTGCTGCGCCATGTGCAGTCCTGTCCCGCACGCGGTCGTTTTGACCCTCCTGTGTCTGTGATCTTCCCTGAACCCAATGTTGTGTTACAGAATCGCTTACATTTTCCTGTCCTCAGTTAGAATCGCCGTCTTACATGCACTGTTCTGTGTTCCAATGTTTTGGTTCCGACGCTGCAGCTGCACTTCGATTCCTAGGGGGTTAAGAAAGCTAGAAATGTTCCAAACATCTCTCAAATAAAATATAACATCGAGATAGCCGCAATGTGACCCTCGTCAATCGCCTAGTTTATTCGACATCACGTTTACAAAGTACCTATCTTCATTCTTGGGACGACAACACAATGTGATCATGACCCCCAATTATAGCACTCCCTCCTACACGTATCATGCTAATTGTTTTATGCGCTAGCGAAAGCAAGCACGTCAGCAACGTGAACTCGGAAGACAATGGGAAAAGACAGCTCTACTTAGGCACTGGGGGGATCCCTTCAGTTGATCATTTTCTCGGGACAAGAGGGTTTCTTCCTATCCTCAATCAAGCGGTAGCAATCTTTGTACGTGCATTTCGCCAAGAACTCGAAGTGCCCTTCACTTTCGCAGGTATACCCAAAATCGTTCCCATCGTTATAGCCTTCAATACCCTTTGAGCACCCAGAATTATCTGTGATGGCCATAAGCATGTGGTATAAGATCTGCACGTAGGTTGTAAAAGTGCTCACCAGGTTTGTCGCAGAGCTTCGTCGTGTCCGGGGTCGCTTTCTCGGGTGCCCCTTGCGCACGGATCCTGACTGGAACGGCTGGGACGCCGGATGCGATAACTACACCAGCCATCGCTGCGGCAGTGACAAATGCAGTGGTGAGTGAAGTGAACTTCATGGCTGAAACTTGATGGTGTTTTCCAAGTCAAGTACGCTGGCTTTTATACACGAATAGTATAAGGCGCAGCCATCACGAAACAGATGCTAGCTCACGCACCGTGACATAATTTTTCTTGAAGGCTTCGAATTTTGTGCGGGACGCACTCCACGAGTTTTTTGGTTCATGATGATAATGATTTATTCATCCAATTCACATTTGCAGAGATGCAGAAGACGAACTCACCAACCATACACGTATAAACACTTAGTAGAGAGATGCTTGCTACCAGCATGACTCTGCCACCAACTAGAGCATACCAGTAGTCTGGACAGTAGTTATGGTGTAAATTGCGACGGCGAGCGTTCTCTGAAGACGTTAAATAGATGTTATATCAGTTGCGGAATACTTGCATAGAACCTTTCCAATATCACGAGTCATGAATTGTTCCACTCATTACTAGATGTATTATTTAGTGGATCTAGGTGAGTACGCAGATCGTACAAATATGTACTTCGATAGATGAACTTGGCTTGGCTGCGGTACTAGAGACCAGTTATTGGATGAAAATCAAAGGAGCTTAGGGAATAACCACCAGCGGCAACCATCGACTCAGCACTAGTCATTGAACTTTCCAGAGTTATTATCAGCTTCACTTCGATCACACAAGTCAGATCTGAATCTGATGTAGGCAGCAAATTCTTTACGGGTCGGCAAATATTAGACCAGATCTAGGCTCGAGCCAGCTTACCTAGCTCTCCCCCTAGTGTTGTTGGTAGAACTCAGGAGTTCTGCCAACCGGTCTGGCAAAACTAGTTGTGCCTGGTCCACGGAAAAACTCAGGTGAAGGGAGGTGGCAGAACCTGGCGGAACTCCAGGACATCTGAGACTCGTGGAGATATAATTTAGATATGATAACACAGATGGTTTGAATTCGAGCACAAAAGAGGACTGTTGACGCCCTGAAGTAAAATTCCGAAATTTGCTTACTCACCATACACACTCGTGAAGAGGTTGGTATCATTACTATCGAGATTGTACAGGATCTTGGAGCATCCTTCGTATGGGCGCCTCAGATCTCAGACAAACCTCGTGATGCAGATGAGCTTCTTGCATGTCCAGAGAGTATCTCACCCGACGGCGTTGCTGCCGAATTTGTGGCTCTCGAAGAGCCTAAAAATTTTCAGAGCATTGATGAAGTTGAATTGCTCGAGGGTAATGCTTTGATTTTGGCAGGTTGGATCGGGTCAAATACCAAAAAAAAGTATTTGAGGTTGATGTGGTTGATTATCATATGGCGAGGATGATGGATGGGGATAATCTGGCCAGCATTAACGTCATCATAAGGAATGTCGTACCCGTAGTTTACTCCGCATTAATGAGCGAGCTGATGTGTCGGGGGTATTCCAGCTAGCGGGTTGGAAAACTAGAATTTCGTGTTTCAAACATCGAGATTGTCATAAAAGCTTTAACATTTGCAACCCTCTTCAATCGCCTACTCTATTCGACATCACATTTACAAAGCAATACATCTATCTTAATTCTTTGGACAACAACACAGTGCGATCATGAATGATTTTATGCACTAGCGAAAACAAGTACTTATCAGCAACTCGGACTCGGGAGACAGCAAGAAAAGACAGGCTCACCTAGGCGCTCCGACCGGGGCGGTCCCTTTTACAGGTCCCTCATCAGGTGTCCCTGTCCCTTTCTCGGGTTCACCTTTCTCAGGTGTCTCTGTCCCTTTCTTGGGTCCACCTTTCTCAGGTGTCCCTTCCTTGGGGTCCCCTTTCCCGGGGGTCCCTTTCTCAGGTGTCCCAACTGGGGGGGGCGAGCCGGATGGGGGCGGGCCAGGTGGGGGTGGGCCAACTGGGGCCACTTGGGCGCCTGGTGCGATTGGGATGGTGGATGCCACAACTACGCCAGCCATTGCTGCGGCAGTAACAATTGCAGTGGTGAGTGAAGTGAATTTCATGGCTGAAACTTGTTGGTGTTTTCTGAGTCAAGTACGCTGGCTTTTATACACGAATTGTATGAGGTGCAGCCAAGCAATTTACATGTCCTTGCACCACGAAACAGATGTTAGCTCACACACTGACATAGTTTTCTTGAAGGCCTCAAATTTTGTGCCGGATGCACTCCACGAGTTCTTCTGGTACGGTTTGGCGAACATCGGTCCATGATGATGATTTATTGATCCGATTCACATTTGCAGGGATGACGCAGATGAACTCACCCACCATACACTCGATAGAGCGATGCTCGGTGCACGCGTGACTTCGCAACCAACCAGAGAGTAGCCAGGTCAGTGGTTGCAGCGACGGCGGGCATTTTCCGAAGACGTTAAATAGATACTGCTGATATCAGTTGTGAAATACTTGCATAAACCTTCCAGATGTAATATCACGAGCCATGAGTTGATCTGGGCGTATTCCTGACATGATTTAGTGGATCCAAGAGTACGCAGAACATGCAAATGCGTGCTTCAATGCAACTCCGATGAACCTACACCAGGATTCACTAGACAACAGGAGCAGGCTTATTGTGTGTTGTGCGGGTTCTGTTATAGATGAGTTTGGCTTGGCTGCGGTACTAGAGACCGGCTATTAGATGAAAATCAAAGGAGTTCGATTGAAAATTAACCGCTCACAAACCATTACCCCTCAATAAATATCGAATCTCAGACTCAGGGAACTACAAGCCGTTATCGCCACTAATTACGGTTCCGCGACTGCTGGCCACAGTGGTTAGGTGGTGCTGTAGCTCGTCAATATCTTTGCAAGGGATTAACCGGACAAATTACGTGAGCAGCATTGACAAGAAGCGCTCCTGTGTCCGTGAGATCGGGAACCAGAGTTGTCGTATATGGAGGAAACGACAGAATTCCTGGGAGTAGTCTCGAACCAAACCCTACTGACATCTGAAACACATTAGTAAGGCCTTGCAGAAGGAGCACTAGACTCGGAGTCGCATTTGGGATAGGAAGAATGTGATAGGTGTCCATGTACTTGAAACTGGGAACCCAGACATTGCAGGTCATGCTCGGCCTAGCGCTGACTCGCCCTTGCGTGAATCGTCTCATCGAGGACAACCCTGAATTACCGAGGTGGAGTGCCGAGGCCAGCTCGGTCTAATACTTAGGTGTTTGTAAAGCCTGCAAAATGAATCTGGAGGCAGAGGCAGAGAGTGTACGTAGGGGTGAGATGGACACGCCGTACGACTCAGAGCCATTTGCCTTGCGGGGATAGGCATGTATTTATGATAAAGGAAAGATATGCACGCACTTGAAACTGGGGACCCAGATATTGCCAACAATGATTAATTGAGGATAATCAGTACATGCTATCACTGCGAGATCAGAGCGCAACCACCTGACACAATACGGAAGATCAATGAACAAGGACAAACAGGTAACTAGAATTCACGCACATTGATGCTTACAGCGTATCTTCATCTCATGTTTAATGAAGTACGCGGACTGAACACAATCCGTCGTAAATAACATTGGTCGTTTATTGCGATAACGAAACACAAGAATGTTCGATGGCCCCTTGGTTCTTTCAAGTTCCAAGACAACAGGCTTTTCACGACGTCATTATCGGACAGTCCATCGAACAGGAAGAGGCAGTGTGGAAGAGATACATCAAACTTATCTACACTGAGCTTGGCAACGAACCGTTCCTGGTCTCCCAGATATTGGCGTTGCCCAGCGGCGCTAACATCGAGATATCATCACCCCCCTGGCACGACATCTGTCTGTCTTGTAGGGCAGCTAGCAGACGGAGACGACGTTTCACGCAGAGGGGGAGAGGTGCATGAGCAGAAACCGGGGAACGCTGGAGCCGGTGGTGAATTTTGACTCTGAGAGGATTAATGTACCTAGTTCAGATACAAAGGCGTGAGGGAGCGGGCCTTCCTCTGTCTCTCTGCCTAGGGGAGACTATCCTAAATCTTCTGATGAAGAAGCAGTAGTACCAAGAGTGGCGAACGTCAGGTGTTGCAAGACATACGCGTGGGATTGCTAAGTTGTTATCCAAGTTGTCAATATCTACATACAACCACCATTACGCACGGACATGGCATCTCAAGCAGCAGCAGCGACCATCCTCGACTCAGTCATCCTAAAGATCCTACACGCTCACAATTTCTCGAGGTCATCGTCACAGGCATCTGTCGTTCTCGCCAGCCTCGTTTCTCGCTATCTTGTTCTACTATCTTCTGTCTGTGGCAACTACGCCGAACATTCAGGACGCTCACGAATATCAGTATGGGATGTGTTGAGCTCGTTAGGAGACCTAGGTGTGAACCTGGAAGAATTAGACGAGTATTGTGTTTCTGAAGGGAAGGACCTGGGGAGGTATGCGAGTAGCAGTGCCAGGAGACTCGACGATCTCTTAGAATTTAGAGGTATCTTTCACAAATTCTCCTATTCACCGTTTTTTAAGCACAGTTGTTATCACAGGTTATCTACAGGAGGGCCACGAAGACGACGAGATCCCTCTTCTCGACCCGCAACCTTTGTTGGATGACTTTGACGACTACGATGACTTGTTCGACCGCTCAACTACCCCAGATTTCTTTCCTCCCCTCCCAGATGACACATCGCGTCCGCGAAGCGTGTCGCCAGCGCCAACGCCTCACACCGTGAAGCTCGAAAAGCCACCCTCACTCATCCCACAACACATAACCTCCAACACCGTGTCTGACTACGTGACACAGGTCAACTACTCGGAATCTGTCCTAGCTTGCACGCCAGAGTGGCACCTTCCCTCGCGCCCACCAGCTAGCGCCCTCTCCAAAAAACAGCCACCTCACCTTCCAACCCCTCAAACAGCACAAGCGCTCCTCCAAGCATACCACCATATCCTCACGCATCCCGTTCCCCCTCCCGCCCCACCAAACCCCTTGAAGCACAAAGTTGCGACGACGCTCCTGTCTCAAGTACAAAACAATCCACGGTGGAACCCTCCAGATACACTATACGCCAACATTGTACCCTGCCCACCTCGTGTCGCAGTCATCGGCCCTTCCTACCCTGTCCCGCAGTCGACTCTGGATGACATACGCGCAGGAAAAGACGACAAAGAGTCCAATAACAAACCTATATTTCCCTCTGCGCCACCTCGCCCTGTTTTCTCCGCAGACAAGCCCATTTTTCTTGTGTCTCAGCAATCTTCGCGTCTACCAGAACTCGCGCGTCAGATCTTACCTGTAAGTCGTGGTTTTGCACATTCGTTTCATGTCTCATGATGGTACCGCTGTAGCCCTCAGTGCTCGCACGCACTACGCGTCTCGCACATCCACCTGTATTACAGCGGGGCAACCAGAAACTCTACTATGGCGCCGGTGTCAGCGCCCCTTGGAACTCATCTGCATCAGGGGCGCCTACCGGCGGGAAAGGTAAAGACGAGGGTACAACCAACGGACGCAGCAACGAACCTCCAACATTCACATTACCCGATGCACAAATGTTCGCTACGTGGGATTTCGAGGCAAAGAGGCCGCAAGAGGCATTGGTAGTGCGCAGAGGGAGAGGCGTGCCTGCATCTGGAGTGACACTTTCCATGGGAAGTCGCAAGGGGCAGTAGCTGTGAACCGACGGGTTTCATGATTCATTATTGTGTTAACGACGAAAGCCCATGCTGGATGGGCTGGTGATATATTCAAGGTATGCACTCAACCACGCCATTGTGGTTGCTTGATTCTGTGCATTGAAATCAAGCAGGTTGGTTCCTCCTTCACAAGGTTTTTGTAGCTGTTCTAGACTAATAGGTGGGGCCGTCCCAAATGAACCACCGTTTTAAGGATTTTGTCAGAACGTTTCATAATTCTTCGGCATGCCCTGTACTTTCATTCAAATTTGTATGAACACTTGAACTATGAGGTGTTTAGTAGGATATCTGTGTTCGCACGCAGATGGCAATATGAATATCACAGCAATTGGATGTGAACTCCATGATAGTATGTTATCCACAAGCTGGATTTGACCAGGGAAGACAGGAGGTACGTCACGGTAATGCACAATTCAGAATTGGCTTAGTAGGCAAAATTAAGACATACTGTGAGTCTGGGAGGATTCATTGGGAACTTGTTTTTCCCCTGACCTATCCAGGCATCAAAGCGTCTCATACGACCTTAGGATAATGCTGCAACATGCTCCTAAGCTCCATTTCTGGAATTCTCTTCTTAAACTCAAATGTGCATGGCAGGACCTCTAATATCGATCTGACCGTGAACCCCATGGCTGCGTAGGATCCAGAGTGAGCTTGTAGGCCCAAAGAACAAGGAGCGTAGCTATGAACACCGATCTGTACCAACAGAGATAAGTTTGGAAGACCGCGTGCATGCAACACAGCTTTACCTGTCCGCGACATGTTGACCAGGACATGCACTGAAAGGAATGTCATTCAAAAACGGGTGGCTGGGGGACGGTACTGACCGCCGACCAAAACCGTAGACAAAAAAATTTAAATCGTCTCTCAGGCCACCTTGCTCATCAATCCAGCGTTGAGGCTTGGACGCGTGAGGCTCCGGATAGACATCTGAATCCCGAGAGATAGACCTAAGGCAGTGACCGTTAGACCCTTGATTTCTTGAAGCGCAATGCTTACCAATGGTCGCCGAATACCGTAGTCCCAGCTGGAATACAATAGTTTTCCTGATGGGACAAATCATCATAGGTGCGATTGGTTGTTCGGTGAGGAAATCCTGCAGTGTGAATGTTATGACACCTAGGTACACAATGAAAATGGAGATGCCCACCACCTGAAGGAACAGGTCTCCATCTCAAAGCCTCGGAGATGAATGCTTGCAAGCGAGGAAGAGACCCTTGGTCAATGAAGGTCGGCGCTTTAGTGCAGAAATTATTGAATCCATAGGGCTGCAATACGGAAGTCAATCAAGCTACCTCGGTGCCTTCCTATGACTGCATCGAGCTTGGCCCGAACCCCAGCCCGCTCGTCAGGGAAGCACGCGGCCGCCATGAGCACCGTGCATATCGACACAGAAGTCTTTCGCCTCTGATTTTAGTCGCATATCTTCGGAGGCAATAGAGCAGCACCTCACCGAAATCGAACCAGCTCCAAGAAAGGAACCACCAAGAAAGGCCATCTCAGCCTCTGTCAAATCATAGGATTGGCTATTTTCTAGCATATGTTTCATGAACGATGGAACGATATCCTGATCGCTCTGCTGTGGAAGATATTAGTCATGAAGTGGAAAATGAAAGGGAACTGCATACCATTTGCTCTTTTACCCATTCCATATGATTAGTGTGAAGTATCTTTCTCCTCTCAAACCCCAGTTTCAATTCTCGGCCATACCAAGGAAGGTATCTGAGCCACGGGATCGAGTCCACCAGGTAAGCACCAGGGCGCATTTTAGCAACCATCTTGAAGCATCTCAATGACTTCAGGATCGGTCGCAGACGTAGGCGTATTCTTCCCATATGCAGCTTTCATGATTGTCGTTGCAGCATAACTCCAAAGTACCCGTAAGCAAAGTACTCATACTACTTATCATAGACGACAACACTTACGTTATCACATGATGCTGGAGGTTTTGCGGATTGTCAAGAACGCCAAGAACTATGTTCTTCACGTGTGACATCTGCAGTGGCTGATATGCCTCAGCTGCTTTAGGTTGGAGATGAGAATGAAGTGCGCTGCATCACGTTGAAAGGTAAGATAGCTGAGGGGATGCATCGCAGATTACTAACCTACGCATGCGACGGAACCGGTCCCCGAAGGGTGCAAGGGCAATGCTCATTCCGCCGCTAACTATTTCTCCAGCAACAATCATGCGAGGACGATCAGCTACAAATTTGCCCTGACCCTCCATGATTTCCACGGCGGCCTGCAACGGAATATTATTGAGCTAGGATATGACAATGCAGAGTACGGGAACTGACTTTATAGCGGCCGATAATAACGATCCGCTCGAAATTTGATCGAATAGTGATGAGAGGACCATACTCGTTAATCCATCCCGCTATGGTGAGGAATGGTCTTGCGGAGATAGGACACAATCAGCATTCAAGACTCGGTGAGTCAAATGGGACACCTTATTTGTGAGGTGGCAAGACGTGCCCTTGAAGTCTCCAAGTGGGAGGGGAAGGTGGAAGAGGAAGGCTACTCTTTGATTTAGGACGGTAAGCCCAAAAAATACACCCGCTGCAGCAAGACAAGTCGCAGAAGTGAGGATGAGCTGCGTGTTGTCCGGGACGCGCAGGTCAGGCTGTTGTAGTAGGATGAGCGCAAGGAAGGATTGGGGGGAACTCATCGTAAACGGCTGCGGGGTACATTCAAGTGTAGAGTGACTTTTTAAGCACTCCCTGCCAATCGATGTGTGACCTGTACCCAGATACGAAGTAATGCTGGCACGTGAATGTTCATATATCTGTCATCAAGAGAAAACACTTCAACAGTCATACCACATTGCACAATACTCCAAATTTCACCATGACCCAGGCAATCATTCCGACGGACGTGCGAATGTCAAGGACTCGCTTGCAATTCATTTGGCTAGCAGACTTCGCTCTATGGCATCAGAGAGTTCGTGAAGCATTCTCGTAGGCTAGATAATCCAGATTATCACCTTGTTTACCACTTTAGGACCAAGGTCACTCGAAGGCATAAGTAATTGTGGCACAAGACTGGTGGGTTGAAAAAAGTCACAGGAGCTATGTTGCTGTAAAGCCGGAAAGCCTGGGTGCTGCCGCCAGCAAAGAGTCACCATAGCTAGTTGCTTCTTGCGTTTAGTGTTGTTGGCAGAATGAAATATTTCTGCGCATGCAGCAGTCTGAGGTCGAGGGTGCTTAGCAGAAGTACGACAACCTAAATAGTATTTGTTCCTACTAACAAACGATAAAAGAGATATAGTAGCCCAAGGTCCGTCCCGTCTGAAAAATCGTATCCGACCTCATGCATTTGATATTGAGCACTGCTCTCATGTCTCAGTGGAGTTCATCCATCAAACGATGCAATTTGTCAGTTCATATGTTGGAATCACGCAGTAAACTTCGTGTAAACTATGCATACTTCCTGTACAAGACGGACTCCAAAGCCTGTTCATCGAAAACATGCACATATACATACCTGTCCTGAACATTAGAAAATCCTCACATTCATCAGGGATTTGGCGAGGAGAAAGCCCTCCAATATATATAAGCACGCATCTCTGACTGTTCGTGTCAAGCTACGGGAGAAGATGGTGGTGGGGAAGAAGAACGTAGGGAAATGGGATCCCCCGAACATTCTAGCTTCGGGGTTGCCACTACAAAACTCACCCAAACAAAATCAAACAAATCTTTTACGCGATTCCAGCCGTTCTGGCCATAGGTAGAGTTCACTGGCGCTCAGTCCCAGTGAAAACCGGACATTGCGCTCCCCAGGTGAGCTGATAACGAGGAGTTCGAAAAGACGGCCAAGTCAAAATACGGACCATCAACATTAATAGGGGGACACACGATGTGTTAAGTGCTATGCATATATTACACCTGTACTTCAGTGGTCTCGACGTTTACGCTTTTCTTATCCTCGCCTTCAGTACCACTCTGCATTGTTTCTATGGGAGATTGCCTGTCCTTTTCATATTGCTTGTCTATGGGCATGACATCGTCCGCAGAGATTAGGGTATCAACATGGGTATCGTGAGCAGGGAACAAGTACGATGCAACATAATACACCAGGGATGCAACCACAAACTAGCAAAAGGTGAGCAAGACACGTGTGAAGGAGATCAGGAGTGCCGTACCCCGTACATCCACGCGATGTCGAATAAGTGGGTTGCGTACCCTATCTTGATAGCTGGATTGATCGAGTTGATAAGGCCGGGCAGCGTGGGGGCAACAGTTACTATCATAGCCAGGACTGCGCGCCAGTTCTATGTAAGCAGTCAAATATATCATGAGGCGGTTCAACATAGCCAGTAGCATCAAAGCTTACAAATCCCCCAGTGTAGCGATATCGTCCTGAAGGGTCATACATAGCGGGAACGTCGACGCAACCTTTATGCACCAGGTAAAACTGTGTAACGCAAATTGTTAATCGACAACTGGGCGCGAGCGGGAATGCCTGTAAGTTACACTCACATCAGTGACCATGATGCCAGCAAAAGGGCCAAGGAAAATGGTGTATCCATCCATAAAACTCAAGAACCCCGTAGCACTATCGACGGATGATAAGGGCTCTACGGACGTGACACTTGGGGAAGACTTACTTGGCAAGAATCTCCCATGGACACAGAGCCCAACCACCAATAATCGCACACAATATTTGTCCGCGCCTGATGTTGATATACTGTTTGAAATAAGCGATTGCCTGTGGAGATAGTGTAGACGCTAACCTTTGGACACAGTGCTGTCATATCGTTCCCTGCCCCGAGCGAATTGGCGCTGATGTTGGTACCAATAGTTGTCAATGCAAATACGAAGGAAGCGAAAAAGGCTGCGGCCCGATTGTCCCAACGATCAATTAACAAAAGAGGGTCCCACAGGACCTCGCCGTAGAGTTGTATTCCAGCACTAGTCACAGCAATTCCAACAAAGCTGCACAGCGTAAATGCGATGGGAATGATAAACGGTTGGACATATTGACTAAAAGCCCATTAGACAACAGCATCAATCTTAAATTGAAATTCGTACGCTCGTTCGTTCTTGGCGTAGCGCTACAAGTTTTAGTGATCAATTGGGGCAGAAGATGTACAAATCTATTTGACTTACAGTGAAATCGGGAATATTGACCGACAAACTGGCATAGATTCCCAAGGCGCTATTCATCGCGCTGAGCCATGCCCATGAAAAGTAGTTGCCTTCGATAGTTGCATGCTGGGAAAACAAGCCCTGTGATGCAGGGACCTTGACAAATGCCCATATAACCATTGCCAGCCATGCTATAGGTGTAAGCACGCCCTTTGCGAAGAATAACCAACGGATTTTATGAGGAGTTACAAAAAGAAACGGAAGCTGGATCAGCCAATAGAGAAGGTAACACATCAATCCTGACAAATTGGTCAGGTAAGTATATGATAAGGACAGCAGGGGAAATGACGCACCAGAGCTGGTAATATTTGCAGAGACAGGTAATCGATTGGGCATTCTTGCAATCGAAGGCCAAATGGCTTTGAGCATCTGAATTGCATTTCAAGTCAATATGACCAAAGATTGATAGAGTACGACCCAATGCACCTGATACACGCATTGCGACCCGTTGTATGTCTAAATGCATGTATGAGGACTCCTGTCATAGAACGCATTCCCACAATCATTACCTGTATACCGAACCAGAACATAGATAGTAAGACGCGACTGAACACGGTGAAGTAACTGAACCAGAAGCCGAATGACGATCGGTTTAATACAGGGAAGGCGACATGGAGACGAGCGCCTATGGTGCCGGTCAAAACCATCACTATGGAGATAATCCCATAGGCAACCGCAATACATGGCATAGCCTGACGCCTAGCAGTTGACGCAATGTCAGGTAAAATGTGCAGTCAGCGGAGAACTGGTTCAAGCAGTCGTACCAAGATAAACCGATTGCAAGCATGGAACTAGCCAACTCCCAAACTGCAAGATTAGTGGCATCAGAGATCCAATAGGATATCTAATAAACAGGTATTAGTAAATTGTGCTGTGATAATCGTCGTGGTGTATCCTACATAATTCCAGGTGCTACGAGGAATGGCATCGAGGTTACGAAACAGCTGAACGGTGCAACAACTATCGTACTTACGTCCATGTTCTCAGACGCGGAGGTACCGGATCCATGTCCTTATTACTCCATCCATGGTTCGCGAAAGTCGTTTCTTCACGTTCGAGAGCCCATCTAGAGGGCTTAAAGAAACCGACCAAACCCTCGCTTTGCGACATGGTTGGCAGCCAAGAACAAGAAACAAGTTCCTTTTCAAGTCAATACATTTCATTATATATCTCTACACGCGTGAGCAGGTGACTTCCGTACTTATTTATGTTCAGATAAGAGTTGGATAAAAGTTCACAGACAATATTGGACGCCAGTCACTCAAGTGCTTAAGAACAAGTTGTGATAACAAAACTGTTTGCAATGATGCCAAAAAAGGATACCTGACTGACTAATGTGAATGGACATTTGCAAGGTACCACGTGGAACATATATTCTGTCACAAACGGTCAGCCTGGCCTATGATGCTGGCCTTGCTTCCTGCACCGTAGTTCTCACTGTGACCATTTCTCTTCAGACCTCTTTTATTAAACCGCCGTGGACTAGCAGATTTTGTATGATCAACTCATGTCCGACCCATTCGATGTTATACCATTCGAGGTACGTGCTACTCATATCAGTAACCCCCACCCACCGATCTTGTCGAAAGGACATCAAGGGAGAATGGAAGAAGCTAGGATCAGGTTCTTTTGGGAATGTTTATAAAGGTATCTTGTTCAATCAGATACCCATATAAGCTAACAAATGTACAGGATCATACCTGGGCATTGATGTCGCAATCAAAGAAGTCCTGCCATCCAACAGTTACAATGTCGCCAAATATTTTGAGAGGGAATGGAGATTAATGAAGTAAGCTTGCGCTACTAGCTATAGACTGGCATTGAGCGTCGCCTCAGGGAAGCTCGTCATCCAAATGTTGTGCTTTACCTTGGCCTGTCGCGTGCCCCGCCCCCAGATGGACGAATATTCATAATATCAGAGTACATTGAGAACGGTGCGTCCGGTTTGAGAACTTTATCTCCTTCTCTTGATATCGTTCATTTAGGAAATCTTAGAATGTACATATTCGATAAGACGAAACCTTTTCCGTGGCGTCTCCGGCTTTCTTTTGCTACAGATATTTCCCGTGCTCTCGCATACCTTCATGCACGTAAGTGCATACACCGCGATTTGAAAGGCGAAAATCTCCTTGTCACCGCAAACGGCAGATTGAAGATCACCGACTTTGGTTTCGCTCGGATTGCCGCTCGCAACGAAGAGGAAAGCAAGCGTCTTACCTTCTGCGGGACTGATTCCTACATGTCACCCGAAATTCTACTTGGGGAGGAGTTCGATTTGCCCACAGACATTTTCTCTCTCGGTATCATCTTCTGCGAGATCGCGGCGCGGAGGTTAGCTGATGACCGCCATTTCAAACGTACTGGCCCAAAGTTTGGCATCGACCCCGAGGAGGTGCGCCGATGGGCAAGCCCCGGCTGTCCGCCGGCGTTCCTTGCTCTTGCGTTCGACTGTCTTGCCGAGGATCCAAAGGCACGCCCCACCACTCGCGTCATTTTAGACAGGCTAAGCGAAATCGAAACGGAGGTTTTGTCACGTCCAGACACTGATAACTTTCACGTTGGGAGCATCAAACTTATGACAGGAGGCAGACGCCGGGGTGCTGCTCCCCGCATTCCAAGTTTCGGGGCTGATGTTGGCAAGGACATCAGGCACAATGAGGCCTCAGTCAAAGAGGATGTGCTTGCGGCCCTGTCCAGCGGCGAGGAGAGCAGCGATGAAGAGTCTGTGGACGCGGCGCAAGGTCTTGTTGTCAGCCTAGATCCAAACAGCGACTGGAGCACGGCTGCCAACGGTGAGATTATTGCTTTAGAGTTTCGACGACGTCTGGTAACATGCTTCGATTATTGACATTCAGGACACTCGGGTGATAGCACCCAACCTCTTCTCGTCAGTAACTCTAGCACATTGTCAGAATACAGCCCCGTCGTCGACCGGGCCCATGTTCCCACAACTGCAGATGACATCCCAACATCTTTATCTTCCATTCTCACTATTCGACCTGCACTCGACCCAAACGGAACGGCGGAACCTATTACCCCAGGTGCCTCTTTCACTGACAATAGCAATACTCCAACGAGCAGCGCCTCCATCATGTCGGCGCAGAGTTATCAGACTGCACAATCGTCCATCCAGTGTTCTACCACAGCGACGAAAGGCCCCTCCTCCATCAGTTCTCCTGCTATGCTTCACCGCTTTACGTTACTTAGACCTGGCACAAAGCGTAGTAGCAGATCGGTATCCCCGACACGTCATACCGACGGAGGATGGAACCCCCTAGAGCTAATCTTCTCTAGTGGATTACTCGTGCAGAAGTGTGATATATGCTTAAAGAGGATTGGTTGGAAACCTATTTTGGAATGTGACGATTGTGGGCTGCGGTAGGTTCTTGACTTTTGATCATGGTGGGTCTGATACATGACTGTCATAACTGCAGGGCTCACGTTAAATGCGGAGAAGTTGCCCCTCGCGACTGTAATATTCGTTCGGTAATTCAACCAGCCCTGCACACATCATCGCCGTTGTCAAAAGGAAGGAGCCAGCCAAAGAGAGTGTCCTTACCCCATTCGATCACGCGATAAGGGACCCTGCATGTTCTCGGATTAGTATTCTCGGGCCTATTGCGATCATTGCTTAGTATCAAGCCACACATAACTTACATTCATGGGTCGATAAATCATACACTACCGAGTCGCTCAGTATCCTTGCCTTATATTGTATTCCCAGTGTCGTGTACGCATCATTTGACAATGCAAATAGCTCTGGCCATCATTTTGTCGAGTGGCAACATTGTGCCGACAGAGTTTACATACACGATGTCCTTTCACGAGATATTTCAATGGCAGATCGTGCATCGATTCTTAACCATCAACTTCTTATCTGTTTAGGAACATGTCCAATCGAGGTAAGCTGCCGCAATCCAGGGTCTCGTCTCGAGTCTACCTAGTGCCCTGTTAACATTCCGAATAGACACAAAGTCCCTGAACGCGCATCAATTACATCACCGGTCTCTGAATCAATCGCCGCCTAAGCATATATATTTCCTTGAAACGATATTCCCTTTCCCTCTTGTATCAAAAGTCATGCGCTTCTATTACAGTCAGTGTCGTCGACTAATGACATAATTTCTTGTCAAGGTTAACTTGGCACGGGTGACCACGATGACTAAGTACTGTGATGTGCTATGCAAAGCACCCCTTCCCTGACAGCTATGGACGTTGGTGGGAGGACTCTGTCAAACATCCATCACCGAAAATATGCGCAGAGCTGTGCTAATGGTTTCCACGGCTCGATTTTGACATTCACCGTCGGCTGAAAACTTGAGCGAACAGTGAGCAGCTGTTGGAATATGCCAATTGGGGATGAAGATAACGTAGTCTAGGATGGCGCATGAATTGGACCTACGTACCTAACCGACCCCAAATCGCACGAGACAAAGCGAAATTAATTCAACGCGCTGTCGGGAGTTGCCAACTCAATTGGGGCGCGAGCGCCTTTCGCCATCTTTTGTCATATTCTTCTGATTGAACGTTGAACGTTTGTCCGTTTTTTGGTCTAGCCTGTTGTCTTCCTGGAGATTACGCCGCTACAATGACGAAATATTCTTGTGGATACCATTTGTGACCCTCACGCGAGTGGATTAATACTCGGGGTCGTTAGAATATCATGTGGTCCTGCCAGTTCTGCCGGTAAAACTACCTCAAAACAGTTCTGCCCAGTAATTGTTGGAACGTCTTGTATAGGCTTGAAGGAGCAATATTCATTAATGCTCGTACCTTGAAGTGACGTTTTGCAACTTCCGGGGACTTTTCTCGGTCACTCATCTCCATACTTGCTTGATACAACACCCAACACCGATCTGGGACCGCATTCAAGCGCTGCATATCTGGTTTTGAGTGGACCTACGTAGTACATGTGCACGTGTACAACACCTGTACATGAGTTACAACCAAGTAAGCATGAACTCATTTTACTCCATAGTCTGACACTAAGCATATTGGGTTTACAAACCATCTTTTCAAGGTTAGCATCCTTACGCCAAAGTTCGACGCGCGTTCAAGCAGCAATAAAAATATTTGGCAGATTGCAAAACAATGTCAATCAATATGTCATCTGCTCACTTTTATGTATTGCAGTTGTTCGGTACGAGCCTTCAAATTCAAAGCTTTGATACGACGCCCCATGCCATTTCAACTGTATTGGGAGAGTACAAATAAGCTCCTCTTCCCGAATGCGACAGTCGGTTCTCTGATTCAGCACCACATCCAGCACACAGCGTGAAGATGTCGTTCCCCTATATCCTCGCCGTAACCGTTACGGTCTTGTCGCTACTATATTGTTGGTCTTGGTCAAGGAAGTCAGCTGGGCTGCCCCTTCCGCCGGGACCTCGATCACTGCCATTCATTGGGAATATTGGTGACATTGACGTAGTGCATCCATGGCGTACATATAGTGAATGGAAGGACAAATACGGTCAGTACTACAATTTTGAATACTTGCCTCTCTCACATCTCCAGCAGGTCCCATTGTATCATGTCGTCTGATCGGCCAGACCGTCGTCATAATCAACTCTGAGAAAATTGCACGCCAACTCCTTGATCAGCGCTCAGCGATATACTCTGACCGTCCTGCGGGTCCTGTGCCCAAACTGTGAGGTCGCATTTCCCCCTTGTTATTCGCTCTGATCGCGAGAAATCGTTAGTTTTGGCATAGATTTCATCACCGCAGTTTCTTCCGTATGGAGATACACTCCGGCTTCATCGACGATTGTTTCACCAAGCACTGCGAGCTGACGCAGCAGATTCTTATCGAGATCTCTATTTGGACAAGGCTCGCCAATTGTTATCTAACCTTCTTAACTCTCCTGAGGCGTTCGAGAAGCACCTTTTCCTGTAAGTTCCCCATTCCTCGCCCGCTGACGCCTACGATGACTGAAATGGGACCAGATACACAGCTTCGATTATCATGTCGGTAACGTACGGACACGATAAAGTCTCTTGGGATGCTCCCCCAATTAAATCTGTCGCCGAACTTGTGGAACTAATAAATGTTGGCCTTGTACCTGAAAGGAGTGCAATACTCACGGCATTTCCTATACGTACGCAATTTATTTAAGATAGAACTTCTGACGCTACCTCGTTGCAGTTACGCGACTACCTGCCTGGTTTCCGGGTGCATCATTCCAGCGTATTGCCCAGCGTACACGGAAGCTCGCACTTGAGTCCATGAATGAACCATTTGAATACGTAAAAAGGAACATGGTGAGCACGCGACATAGTAATCTCATGGACGCGAATACTCATAGAGGTTAAGGCCGCCGGAAATGCACCGAAGTCATTGGTGTCGGATCTTTTGACTGAAATGGACGAGGGGAAGGAGGCTTTTCCAGAACAGGCAGTGAAACAAATTGCCTTGACTGTCTTTGTTGGTTAGTGTGTCTGCTTTCTATTACGCTGCAGGAACCAACATACATACGTTCATAGCTGGGTTTGATACGGTGGGTCCACCATGCTACACTATGACGTAGACTGCGGACAGATCGGCTGATGGATTCCACAGAGCTCTTCTACGTTGTCCTCTTTCATACTAGCGATGGTTTTGCACCCTGAGGCTCAGCGGCTCGCTCAACAAGAAATTGATTCTGTCGTTGGCGTCGATAGGCTACCGGATTTTTACGACCGACCATCTTTGAAGTACGTGGAGGCAGTTTTTCGGGAAGCTATTCGTTGGCACGTCGTTGCACCACTTGGTGAGGGACTTGATGTGTCAGTCATGTCATTCTTATTGTTCCGACAGGTATTCCTCATGCAACATCAAGTGATGACGTCTTCGGGGGCTATTTCATTCCAAAAGGTTAGTCGGCCGATTCTGATTGTCAGTGGGTCCTAATGCGACGTGTTTCACCGTAGGCTCTCTTATTCTGCCTAATATATGGTACGTGTTAATTTTCTGACGAGTCTTGCGCCTTGTAACTTAGTCGCTTCTTCAGGGATATGTCCAGAGAAGGACACGATGATCCTGATATTTTCAAACCAGAGAGGCATTTTGCAAGTGACGGGACACTTTTGCCAGACACGATAGCGGCTAAACCTATGTGGGGTTTTGGAAGGAGAGGGTGAGTAGCAAGTCAACCTTATCCAGGAATTGTTCTTCTCACAATCTGGTTAGGTGCCCAGGGCGTTTCATTGCCGAAGCTGCGACATGGAGTGCGGTGGTGCATCTCCTTGCAGCGTTCCGGATAACAAAGGCAAAAGATGAAACAGGGAAAGAAATTGAAGTGAAGGAAGAGTTCACATCTGGAGTGGTCTGGTGCGTTTCTGTGTGTTGGAGAAATGGAGCATCAGCATCCTCACTGCTGTTGATTTTTTAGCCGACCTGTGCCGTTTCAATGTTCTTTTGTCCTCCGATCAACGGCAAGGGAGAAGGCAATCCGCTTGGGCGATTGATCTTGGATGGGGTTCGGATCTAATGTGACCTGATTATTCTAGCTGTACGAGGCGAGTTAGTTAACTTGTAACACCAAGTCATGGCGATTATGTGTTAACACATTGTATTTAATTGCTATTCGTAGTCGATTGGATCGTTTGCTATCGAGTTTTGTCTTCTGTGATACTTGGTCGGTAATATAATAATTAACCGTTTGTTACGGTGGTAATATCGGAATCTATTCCCATATTAATATCAATATTTCCAATGATAATTTGTCTCCACGGTGCGCACCACTATCAGATTTGCAGTACTTCCATCGGCAGCCTACGATAAAAACCATCGATTTCAAGTCCTCGTAGAGACGGGCGCTCCGAAATCTACTGCCTAGAACTAGCCAGGCTCGGCTCGGTTTTGGGGTGGAAGGTACGTTATGTCAAAGCATCATACATTCTACAGATCGGCTTAGTTGAAGCCCATAAAGTATCATTGTACAATACGGCACATGTCTCGTCAGCAACAGGATGCAGATGCCAACCTCCGGTTCAGACAAAGGTCAAACACGACAACCTTCACCCCGTTTGCGTGGCGGCGCAAAGCCGACACCATATCTACTACCGTCCCACCTCAGACACAGACGTTGACATTCGATGCCCTCATTGAGGCGCTGACTCCTCCTGCAGTTCCAAGTCTCACACATGCACGCTCTTTGGCTACTCTAATAGCATCACAATCACCGCTGCCTCGACCATCCGTGCTGAACCCAGTGTGGGCTGCACTCTGCGGTCACGATTCGCCTTCTTCGCTGCAAGCAGCAGGGTATGAAATCATGGCAACGTTCTGGGAGAGATTTGATGGCCATCTGGGTACAGCAGATATCCTTCAGTATTTTTCGCTATTCTTGCATACCGTCTGGGCTCCCGATGTAGGGGAACCTCGACTACGGGCTCTACGGGCTCTCACAAGAGGGGGAACCGAAGTCATTGGTATCGAAATCCCATTAATTAGCCTGCTCAGGACATGGACAGAAGGCGCCTTTGATGCTTACATGTTGGGTGATGCCCCAGATTCTACTGACCGTGCAGAACGAGAACGACACGTTGAGCTTTTGGCTACATTCCTATCTTCTGTACTGGAGCAACCGGAATCCGCGGCTCGTGTATCTGAAGGTGACCTTGCCAGTGTCCTTCAGTTCTATGCTGGTCTTCTTGGTCGGGCGTTGACAGTACCTCCTCTGAGTTCTGCTGCTGATCCCGTACCCTCACCGCCTCTCACCGCTCACACCGATCAACTTGTCGGCGTAAAAACGACTGTTGGGGCTCACAGACGTCATCCATCATCCATATCAATCCGTTCCATCTCATTCCCAAATTTGCCTTCTCGAAAACACCCAGCAGAGTTAATGGTCATTATCTATCTAGACCACCTCAGTTCGCAGCTCAAAGCTCTCGCGCCAAAATTTTTGACGCTCATTCTTCCTGTCCTCCTACGCGCCCAGGCCTTCTTCGCTTCCCCTTTACCCCGTGTATCCATAATGGCAGGTCGCACTCATATGCCAGCTAACTTAGAGGACAGAATTCAAAAATCTTTGAACGTATTGTTTTCCGGGCCATACGGTAGTTCGTGCATGGCAATACTCAAACGACATCTTCTTCCTCCTACCGATGTTGGGAAGGACCTTCATATCGCTCCAATTATCGCTCTTGGTGCGCACAGAACATTGAGAAACATTATTCGCCAAGGACTATGCACAAAAATGGCTCGCGCATACATCTGCAGATTGACGTCCGTCTCATACCCCACTACAGGCGCTCCCGGACACAAGGATCTTGAGAAAGATCTTATGGAGCGGGCATGGTCGAAGGATGATATATCTGGATGGGATCATACGAGGCTCGGAAGATTGCTCGGCAAGTCGGTTGAAGCTTGGGTCAACTTTATGCCAGCAGATAACAGGGAGGATTATGACATGGAGAAGGACAAAATAATGGACGAAGCAGCATGCACTATGAGGGATATCTTTCAGGAGTTTGACGAGAGGGAGGATGGTGTTGATATGGACGATGAAGAGGCGTGCGTTGCAGGAACAATTCTTCGCCAGCTTGCCAATTTTGTTCGTCCGATCAGGTGTGTTGCTCGTTTTACGGGCAGTCGCTTACACCCTGACTAGTTACACAGGACCACGGATGGGGCGCCCCTGATCCTACCGCTAGACCAGCCTGCTGAGGCCCCCACGCCATTCTTACGCACGCTTTCATCCTTGTTAGCCCGAGACCATTCAACATACATGATTCCGCTGCTATCCACCACGCTCTTCTTTATTGCGGACCATCTTACCGATGCAGACACTGCCAAACTCCCAAGTATGATGTTTGAACAACATGATTTGTCGCCTGCATCACCGGATTGGTTGAAGAGCTGGCAGGACATTCTTTCAAATCCCACTCTATTTGCTCCTACCCGAGCGCTAACGCGGTTGGAAATCATGAAGGCATTACGATCTGTCTACGACTCTCTCAAGGATATGCATAGCTACAGGAAGTCACTGGCAGACCTAGTCTTCGATTTTTGTCGGATGCAGGCAGACAACCCGCAGGAAGACCTGACATTCGACAGCAGCGTGGCATGGAGGATATTGGGCGATGAAGTAGTCCTTCGTGCAGTAGAGGCGCATACTTCATCAACATCGGTGGCCCCATCTTCAGAGCTCGAGGCCCCGACTCGCTTCGTCCCTGTACGGGAGTTGATAGACCTTTTGACAGCTGTTGCTGTCGAAAGAGGAGTCCAAGAGGATGACGATGACACTGGGTGTGCCAACGCTGGCACGCCAGCGTCACCTGCATTTCCCTCCAGCAGTGCTTCTGCTGTTGTAACACCTATGCTCTCACGAAAGCAGTCAGAGCACCGCGGCGGAAATGTGAGAGACAGAGATTCGAATATGCCCTCTGTCATGTCAATTCTGTCATCCCTTGCGGGTTCTCGCTCTCAGTCTCAACACTCTCAAGAACACGAGAGTCCCCGCCCTCCATTGGTCGCTTCCCCTGCATCGGAGCCAATATTGCCTCGTGCAGCCGTAGCAGTGGTGTCGTTGGTTTCGATATTCAGCCAACTCGCATTCACTCCTCACGCACTACTCCAGCGTAACGTCATTTTAGCAGGCCAAGTATTCGATACTTTGGTGAAGCTCATCAGCCAAGCAAAATCCCCCCGCACTCGTCACACTGTTCTCCAGTTTACCATGCGAATCCGTGCTGATAGGGACCACCGCCTCTACTTCGTTGACGCCCATCATGATCCGGATGGCAATATCATGACCTTGGCATCGCTGATTGGCCGGATACAAGGGCCATCATTTTTTGGACAGGTGCAGCAGTCAGAAGATGAGAGGACTAGCTCCAGTGACCTGAACAACGATGACTCTCATGTGCGCAAACCGCAGCCTCGAGGTCCTCAAGAGCGTGATGGGAGACGAGCATCTCGTGGGAGGGGAATCAGGCCAAATCAGTCGGCAGGCAGCCGCAGTCAGTCGAGAGCATCATTACCAACGCCATCGCCCAGTACAAATCAGGTAAAACCGTTGGAGACCCTCTGGCAATTTCCCGAATCTCTCCCGCTCACTTCGATAGACCAAGACAATCCAAGCGAGGGCATCTTTTCATATGATCCAGTATCCGAATCTATTGGTGTCCTACGCATCGACTCTTATTTGTCTGCCATTTTCGACGTGCTAGAGAAAGAAAGAAATTGGGAAATTCTTTCCTACGTACTCTGTCATCTTCCCGTCCAACTCGCAAACAAGCACCTGTTTTGCGGCCCCAAGTGTCGTGAGATGATTGCGAGGTTGCTGACGTCGCTCTGTTCTGAGCTGGCAAGCGGCGGATTAGCATCCAGTATTGATCGCTGGCCTCTCGGTCTCAAACCTCGCGACGCTCATGGGCTAGCATTTCACACACTCACCGTCCTCATCAGCTACTCGCGGCGTTTTGACTTGCCGTTGCGACACGCTATTGTTGATGTGCTTCGAGAAGGGCTGGATAGTCAGCCCACGACCATCATCTGCTGTCTGCAGGCTTTGACGCTATGTGCCTTCGAGCTTCTGTCTTCGCTCAAGAGGTCCCTACCATCAATCTTGGAGAAGCTGTCGCAGATCATGTCCAACCCAGACATGGCTGTCCACATCCTCAGTTTCCTCTCCATTGTCGGCTCCATCCCGGCGCTACATGCTAATTTGCGAGAAGAAGATTTCAAAATGGTGTTTGGGGTTGCGCTGCAATACCTTCAGCATCACAATCGTCCTTGTGCAACGCCCGCGATGTCGTGGGCAATGTCTCAGTATGTTCGGATGATTTCATTCTCCGTGGTATACGTTTGGTTCTTGGCGGTCAAGCTTCCGCATCGTCCTCGACATATTTCATATATCACTCGCCAGTTGCTACTAGCAAACGAAGGAAAGGATGGCATTGACGAACCCACCGAGGTATGCTTCGACTGGCTGGCGCGATATGCATACGCCAGCGCCGATCCACGACCCGCTCGTTCGACGCTGAGTGAGATTGTAATGAATCCAAACAATCTGGCATCCCCGGAACCTGCTGTCAGTGAAAAGACATGGCTTTCGGGTAACTCTGTCGTCACCATCCGCTCTTTGGCTCGCCTCGGTTGGATTGAAGTCCTATCTCGTCGCCCTTCTGGGTTGACTAGGTTCCTCTGCAAGCTAGAAAATATACCCTTAGTTGGGCCTGGTGATGTCGATCCCGATATGGTTTCCGTGGCTGCGGGCATGATGATGGAGCGCGATGTTCCGCGCCCTGAACGCCCCGACGCGGATGTCGATCAATCGCTGGAAACGAATCCTCGCAGTGTAAGTCGGAACTCTCGTTCACAAACTAATGGACTCATCCATTCTAGGACACGAGCAAAACCATTGTCGTAAGGGATGATGGTGGAACTGTACCACCAGCACCAGATCCAATCACTGGCTATGTGTGGAGTCATACTGCTCCCTCTCAACGTCGAAAATACGTTGCCGTCGATCCCGCTTTCTTCGCACTTCAGCTTTCCCCTTACCCTGATAGGAACCAATCCGCTAGCCAGCGGATGGTCGATGCAGCATTACTTCCGGCTCTCTTCCGGTCGTTGGATCAGATTCCCGTGATTGATACCCATAAAGTGGGTATCATGTACGTTGCACCTGGCCAGACACATGAGCTTGATATTTTACGGAACGCCCATGGGTCACCTGCGTATACAAGGTTCCTCGAGGGCATTGGCAGACTCATCAATCTTCGAGGTCAAGTTGACGTTTATGCGGGTGGCCTGAGCTCGGACGAAGATGGCGAATACGCCTATGCATGGTGGGATGATATAGGTCAAGTCCTTTACCACACCGCTACGATGATGCCATCCAAACCTCACGACAAGTATTGCGTCGACAAAAAACGTCATATTGGAAATGACTATGTCCGAATCGTGTGGAATGACTCCGGAATTCCCTATCAGTTTGACACGCTTGCCACTCAGTTCCAATTCGTGAACATCATCATCGAACCCCATTCCCTTGGCGCAATTGCTGCCTTTTCCAATAACATCCACGAAAACGAGTATTTCAAGGTCACTATCCAACGTGCCTCTGGCATGAGTGACTTTACGCCTGTTGGTGACTTCAAGCTCATATCGGCAGAACAGCTCCCTTTGCTGGTTAGGCAACTCAGCTTACTGGCGGATTGTTTTGCGTCTGTGTTTGAACGCACAGAGCGAGACACCAAAGAAGTCGAGGTCATCACCAACTGGCGTGCTCGACTCCAAAAGATCACGACGTTCAAGAGGGAGAAAATGCCACCCCCGCAGACTGGGGGTGAAATCGAAGGAGTAATTGGGCAGGAGGCTTATCGCAACTTCACAGCTACATTCTAGCTTGGATTATATTTCTGATTCTACGTCGGCGGATATTATGCATTGGATATCATCTCTTTCCTACAATCTACCCATTGTTCAAGTTGATCGTTAATTTCCGTACATGCCAGGGTCTGTTACTTGTTGTATTGTTTACCACTGCTCATACATGATTTGCGTACTGTAATTTTTGAAGTTCGTTCATTCACACCTCCACCGGTCGATTAAGTAATAAGGTCTAGAGTCCCCTACTTCAAACTAAGTTTTAACATCTATTAGATGCTCTCGGAAAACGTCTAGCCAGAGATCAGGATCCGGAGTCATCTTATGCTGACTCCATCGATGTTTTCATCGTATGATATACCATGTGTGAGATTGTAGTACTCACGTCAGTCAGTCAGCAACAACTGGCATTTGCGTTTTGATAACAAATGTTGGTTTCTACTGCTGGATACAGCCTGTGACACTGAGAGACGTTCATCACCATGTCAAGTCAGTTATTGAATGGAGGCAAAGTCCCAATTCTAAGGTCACTATACTCCTCCGAGTCTGGTCAAACGTACTTACGATCATGTCACTCATGATGTCGCCAAAATATTTGCTTTTTGTACGAAGCTAGAATAGATCTAAGTACCATGTTAATGAGTGTAATTATGAGTGATAGGGATAACATATCTCTGCGAGTAATGGAACAACGCTGGGGCGGAGACGATAATCATATTTAACGAGCGTGCAGCCAACATATATTATGTAAGAATGAGTGGCTTGATGGAACTGTACATACAGGTTAGGTGACAAGAAGGCATTAACATCACAGATTTCCTCAGGCTCCCGCGCAAAACTGATGGACAACTGATTGTTCATCAACATCCTTATCCCAACCTCCCATTGCTCGAGTCTCACATCTCACCTCCATTCCCTGCTTGACTTCGGCCCTGCGTTTATTACTTTATACGCAGGGCCCAAGTTGAGCAGGGATCAGATCGTTCAGATCGTTCTTGGTTTTTATCTGGAATAGACAGAAAAGTCTGAGGAATTGAAATAGAGACTCACCCTCGTGTGATACTTGGGATTCTCATGGTGCCAAAGGCGTTCCGATGGCTTGGGGAAAGCCAGAAGCGGGGGATAGGTGACTCGGGTCAGACAGACACTGAACGTAGCACACGGTCCAAAACGCACTCGGGTAATGCGTACCGCGATGCATATGATCGATTTGCCCACGGTGGTATGCACTGCTTTCATCTACCCAGGAATATGTTCCAGGACGACGCTCAATACTAATGTTCCCATCAGGCCATTGTAAACGTGAACGGTCACCCGATTCAAGCGGGGCCGCTTTCACTTGAGCATGCAGTCCTACATCTTGAAAAGCGACAGAAGACGGACAACTAGGAAGTTAGCATCAGACAATGGGTTACAGAGTCGTCTCATCCTCAGTAAACCCGAATCCCTCGCTTATGGTGGATGTTTGGTTACACTTCGACTTCCCGGGATGCCGCACGGATTTTCAATGTCCGATCAGTATTTGGTTTCAGTACTATCCTTTCTTCAAATTTATTTAATGTATACCTAGTTATATTCTACTACTAGTAGAGCGACTTTGTGATAGGTTGAGGTCACGTGATCATGTTCTCCTTGGTTGTTGTCTAATTCTAGTTCATTTCCTCTTTCTCTTGATCCAGTTTAATCCCTTCTGGAGGCTCCTGCCTGCAGATGATGGCCCTGAACTCTGGTTGGACTTTAAACTTCTTGTTTCTTTGATTTCTGACTGCTCCACTGGATATGAAGGTGTTTCCTTTTGGTGAGTGTCCTTTTTGGTTTGCTTAAACTCCCCTCCCTATGAAGTCCGGTATGGCCCATCCTTGCCCCAAGACTGAGTAGTGGAGCACCACTTCCCCTTCCACCACCTCCACCTATTTCAACCATTTTTTTTGCTCATTTTCTATCTAGATTGTTGTACATCCTTGACCGATCCCTGCACCTTGTGATTCAACTCTCCTCTCACTTTCGCTACTGAGGCAATGATGAAGGCTTGGATCAGGCCTTTGCACCTCACAGGGAAGTGCTGGCTTTGCACCTGGTTGGTCACACAGATTGGTTGTCCTCATTAAATAAACTTGCGAATCAACTCTCCACTTGCTTTGTCTTGCACCATGTGAGTTTACATTTCCTATTACTGTTGTTTGGTCATGACTCTGCTTAGACCACACTTGCAGTTTTAGATAATTTATCCCTATTCTCCTGTTTGGTGGAGTCTGCTCAGACCACATGCATGATCCTTTTGTCTAGTAGTCTAATTTGAATATGCACCCATGGGTTCACCATGTACCCATCCAAACCCATTCCAGGACTCCTGATGCTGAACAATGGACACCATTGACTTTGGTCATCATAAGCTTGCACTTGGACTTGGGATTCAGTCATCAAATTGATCAGACATTTTCAATTGAACAAGTAACATAGGGTTCATACTATGAGAATCACCTCAGCATGAGGGAACAAGAATAATCATTGGCACAGATATACAGTAAGAATGATAGTGCTGAGTACTAAAACTCTAGGTATCAAAATGTTGCAAGCCAAAGGCGCGACAGAACTTATTACATTTATGTGTGGACCTGAAACTGTTAAAAGCAGATGTGCAGTTTCCTCCACCAAAATTGTTCATGAAAGCCCTGGATACTTGTGTTAGTGTGATGGTCCAAGGCTTAGTAGTAGCACAAACTCACGACCCTGTTAGGACTTGACAATTGGTAAGGAGGTTACCAGAACCTACGCCAAGTACAGTCAGTTAGCTGTGGGTGACAGTCAGGTGAGGGGTTGAGCATTCACCCTGGAAATCAGACAGGTAAACCATGTTGTTAGTAAGGTGATGCTGGACATGTTGCATGAAGCATAAAAACAATCCAATGACTGCTTCTCTGCCCTCTAGACTATGGGTGGGGATGGTGGAGTTGTTGTTGATGTACTTGACAAATTTTCTGCTAATCTGCTCCTCAACAAGATAGTTTGCACCAAGGTCATTGTCGGGGTCATCAGGAATGGCTAGTGCCACATGAACCAGCCTTAGATGTGGTAACTCAACCTCAATATCTTGGCTCACATTGCCCATCTTGAGCATCTCATCAACAAAGGTATAGGCCATACTGAGTAAGGATGTGCCCCAGTAAAGGCAGTTTGCCTCGTCAAGGGTCTTTTCCAGTTCATCCTCCCTTGCAAAGTGGCAATGTCCCATGCTTTGGCCCTTCCAAAAGAACATGCATTTAGCCACAAGTTGCTCAACTGACAGAACTGACAGTGGTAGTGATGTAGATGTGGATGGGACTCTGCCTGTGTTCAAAGTTAAGGCAGGGTGATGTCATATCTCATATGCCAGACATAGATCCCATCATATTCCCACGCTTTCCGGACCTGTTTCTGGACCCCATATCCAACTCATTCCTGGATCCCCTATCCTGTCCACCCTATGCATATTCTGTCCAGCAAGACATCCAGACTTTACCTCCTCTTGGATTCTGGACTACATCCACCACCTCACATATCTCAGTCCTGTTTCTGTCCTGCCTTCCGGATCTGTTAAGAACCATGCTCAAAGGAGAGAGAGACTGACTCAGAGGGGCTTGGCCTCAGCTCGTATGCTGTGCCCCTTACCCAAGTATGTGCCCTTCATTTCAGAGGAAGTCTGATGATGGTCCAATGAAGTCTGGAGGACTTCTGGAGGCTGGCTACTCTGGTGGAAAGTGCGGGAGGACTTCCAGAGGAGCGTGGGAAACATCTGGAGGAGCATGGGAGAGTTCCAGAGGGATGCAGGAAATGCTCAGGAAAGTTCCTGCTGCAAGGTAATACTTCTACAGGAAAACAGGATGGAAGGATAGGAGGTCTGGAGGACAGGAGGACAGGATGTCCGGAGGTCCAGAGTATGGAGGACAGGAGGTCCGGAGGTATGGAGGACAGAACGTCTGAAGGTATGGAGGGCGGAATGTCCAAAGGTATGGAGGGCAGAACGTCCAAAGGACAGGATGCCCGGAGGTATGAGGGACAGGACATCCGGAGGTACAGAAGACAGGGGGTCTGGAGGTCTGGAGGTCTGGAAGGAATAGAGGCTACATCAGACAAAGTCCGATGTAGAAGCAAACAGAGGTAGACTACCCTAAGGTAGAGTTGGAGGGACAGGAAGTGGACCTAAGTCTGGAAAGAGGGTAAGTGCCAGAAAGGCAAGACTCCAGCCTAGGGAAGCAATCCCTAGACTTGGGACAGAGACATAGGGGACAAATCCAAAGGTCCAGAATTCCTGCCTAGGGAATCCATCCCTAGGCCTTATGGAAAAGGACAAACTCAGATGGACTGAAGTCCAGAAGAAGATTGGGCAAGTCTAAGGTGATGAACAGGATCTAAGATGATATTCAGACTAAGGACTCTACTGTAGTTGTACAGGGGTTATATACTAGAGGCTATCTGAGAGGATCAGTAAGCAAAGGAGTAAGGCTATGTATGAGCATGTGGAAACACATTGGTAAGTAAGATGGAACATAAGTAAATGAACTTGGAGATGAAACTAGTACAAGGATCAATCAGCAAGACAGAAACAGAGATAACTGAGAACTGGAAAGGCAGAGATGCCTAAATGGGGATAGGCACAGGATCTCGGATAGAGGGTGGGAATAGGTCCAGAGATAGTAACAGTTAATATCTGGAGGTCCAGAGATCTGGGGATCTGGAAGGCAGGGCAGAAACAGGACTGAGATATGTGAGGTGGTGGATGTAGTCCGGAATCCAAGAGGTAAAGTCCAGATGTCTTGCTGGATGGAATGTGCATAGGGTGGACAGGATAGGGGATCCAGGAATGAGTCGGATATGGGGTCCGGAAATAGGTCCGGAAAGCGTGGGAATATGATGGGATCTATGTCTGGCATATGGGATATGACAGGATCCCCAGATCTCCGGACCTATTCCCACCCTCCATCCGAGATCCTGCACCTATCCCCATTTAGGCATCTCCGCCTTTCCAGTTCTCGGTTATCTCTGTTTCTGTCTTGCTGATTGATCCTTGTACTAGTTTCATCTCTGAGTTCATTTACTTATGTTCTGTCTTACTTACCAATGTGTTTCCACATGCTTGTACATAGCCTTACTCCTTTGCTTACTGATTCTCTCAGATAGCCTCTAGTATATAACCCCTGTACAACTACAGTAGAGTCCTCAGTCTGAATATCATCTTAGATCCTGTTCCACTTGCCAATCATCTTCTGGACTTCAGTCTGTCTGAGTCTTGTCCTTTTCCATAAGGCCTAGGGAAGGATTCCCTAGGCCGGAATTCTGGACCTTCGGATTTGTCCCCTATGTCTCTATCCCAAGTCTAGGGATTGCTTCCCTAGGCTAGAGTCTTGCCTTTCTGGCACTTACCCTCTTTCTGGACTTAGGTCCACTTCCTGTCCCTCTGACTCTACCTTAGGGTAGTCTACCTCTGTTTGCTTCTGCATTGGACTTCGTCCGATGTAGCCCCTATTCCTTCCGGACCTCCGGACCTCCTGTCTTCTGTACCTCTGGACCTCCTGTCCCTCATACCTCTGGGCATCCTGTCCTTTGGATGTTCCGCCCTCTGTACCTTCCGCCCTCTGTACCTTCCGCCCTCTGTACCTTCCACCCTCCATACCTTCCGCCCTCCATACCTCCGGACCTCCTGTCCTCCATACTCTGGACCTCCGGACATCCTATCCTTCCATCCTGTTTTCCTGTAGAAGTATTACCTTGCAGTGGGAACTCTCCTGAGCATTTCCTGCATTCCTCCGAAACTCTCCCACGCTCCTCCGGATGTTTCCCACGCTCCTCCAGAAGTCCTCCGGACTTTGTTGGACCATCATCGGACTTCCTCTGAAATGAAGGGCACATACTTGGGTAAGGGGCACAGCGTATGAGCTGAGGCCAAGCCCCTCTGAGTCAGTCTCTCTCTCCTTTGAGCATGGTTCTTAACAGGTGACATGTTTTGAAGCTTCCTGCCAAACCAATCATAGATTTGGAGCTGGTGTCGATGGTGAGTATGGCAACAGTGTACTTGCTGTCAGCAGTACTGAATGGCATAGAAATGAGCTCTGCAAAGCCAATAGAAGGGATGTCATAGAGATGAAAGGTGATAGGGATACATCCAGCACCTGTCATCACATAATGTGAGCTAGTTGACTGATTCTAAAAGTTTAAGGCACATACCTATAGTAGAGGAGGCTTGTTTTCGTACATTTCCCTGAGCTTTCATGGCTGCTTGTAGCTGAGATTGACTGGGTAAGAAGAGTTGTTTTGATATGCGAGTGCTTGCAGCCAAGACAGGTTGTGACTCTTCCAGATTTGAAGGGCCACCACAGACATCAAATTGCTTTGAGACATCCAAGTCATCACCTACCAGGACCTTGCTAATTTCAGATATTGGAAACCAGACAGCCGAAGGTGAGCACTGTGGTATCAAATATAGTTAGACCTGCCAATATACAAGTGCCTCAACTTACCTTCCTGGAGTGTTTGTGTGCAGGGTGGTGTGGTGGCGATGGACTGGAATCATTGCTGCTACCTTGACTTTGCAGTACCTTTTTCTTTGTGGAGATACTAGATGCTGATGCTAGTGCATTTTGTACATCAACATTGATACTCAGTACAATGTTCTGTGAGATTGAGCTAAGTTTGAAATGCATCACTGAAAACGTGAAGAAAAGACCTACATTGACACATTGCTCTTGCCAGAGTAACACATCCTTGAACTGCACATTCATCATTACAAGAAGGATGGTGACATGGGCATTTGCATAAAATTTGGGTGTGGGATCCTTGGGCATTGCATGCATGAAAAATTCTTGTAGAACTGGTTCATTAGCACCAATGGACAGTTGCCTTGGGTCATAAAGAATCATCTTTGGCGATTTGTGCATCTCCAGGCTGTAGAGGGACAGAGCATGGCTGTGTGACCACTCTGTCCATAATGGTTCAAGCTGGTTGATTACCTTGGACTGAAGCTGAGCTAGGGTGATGTTGAGCGCAACATGCACATCACATTCAATATTCTGTAAATTTCGTAAGTCAAGAGCAGCACCAGTTAGAATTGATATAACCTACACCAACTAACACAGTGCCTGACTTTCCCTCTGGTTTCAGGTGATGTAAGGCGACCCAAATCATGACTTGATGGAAGCACCCTGATGATGCAGCCTGAGCCATCTTGCTGCGATACAGGTGGTGCATGGCATGATTGGGTGTATATCCCATGCTCACATGTGCAGGAACTGGAGGAGGAAGCATTTTTCCATGGTCACCTGCCAGTGTGTAGGCTGGATGGCTGAAGCGCTGACTGGGAAAGATGTTGTCTATAGGTTGGAAGATAATTCCATTGAGCTTTGTACACAGACCAGAAGCCCTCATATGACAAACCTCCATGTTGCACTGCTGACATTGCTTTTACCAGCTCATGTCTTGAGGGCTCAACAGCAGGCTGAGCAGCTGTGAAGTCTGTGATATGAATGATAATGAATTTGGTTAGTATTGGACTCAGACTCATCAAAGTTGGACTCACCAATGCTTGTAGCTTGCTGGCATTGAGCCTGTTCTATAGCTTTACATCCCTCATAATGCTTTGCACAGCTTGGGCAACATGTATGGCCTGAGCTGTCTTTACCATGCACATATGTAAATGGTACAGTTGATTCGAAATGTGTGTTGCAATGCTGACAAAGTCTCCAGCTATTTGCATTTATGGGGGTAAAGTCTGCCATGGTATGAATCAGAGGTATACTATAGAGATGGTGGATTCAGAGGATGAACAAGGGATGCTGGGGGCTTTTCAACCATGTTAGAGATATAATGGTCCAAATTATTTGCAGTTGTTCTTTCAAAGTGTGATTCTCAAAGTATGACAAGACAGCGGTTGATCTACAGTGGCTCAACAAACTGTCCACATGTTTTTGCATTTTTCACTATCTATGATATTGTGTGAGAATGAACAAATGGCTCAAGGACATGCTTATACCACATTGTAGTATGGCTTCAGGGCTTTCATTTGAGCCCTACACCGTGGGAATCGGTGGAGATATGGTGGAGACATAAGGCTTACAAAATCATGACTCATGTGGACAGTTTTTTGAGCACATATTAAAACTATATAAATCATCATTTATGACACCATAACAATCATGCCACCATTAAATAAATTATCAAGTGGTGTCATTATGTCATTTTAAAACCATATCTAACTATACAAACCAAAAATTTCCATATGTCATGGTTATATTCACCATGAAAGCCACCCCCCCTGCTCAAAGGGATAATATCCTCTCTCTTTCCTATTCTGGCCTCTCTGCTTGTCAAATTTCCTCTAGAACTGGAGTATGCAAGTCCACTGTGGCCAAGTTCATCAAAGAAAGTCACACAGACAAGGAAAACTTCTGTGAAGGGCATCCATCCAAGCTCACCTCTACTGATAGGAGGGCTATTATTCAACATATCACTACAGGAAAGGCTGATAATGCTGTCCAGGTCACCTATTACATCAATTCCACCATCACATTCCCTGTCTCTTCACACACTGTGAGAAACATTCTCAAGACAGCTCATCTCAGGCCAGTAACAAGGAAGAAAAGGCTCTCCTCTCTATCACACATATGCAGAGATGACTAACCTTTGCCTTAGCCCATCAGAATTGGATTACATGGACTGGAAGCATGTTATATGATCATATAAGACCACAATAAATAGGATTGGGTCAGATGGCAAGGTATATATGTGAAAAAAGAAGGGTGCTAGTCCTCTCTGCATATGTGTGATAGAGAGGAGAGCCTTTTCTTCCTTGTTACTGACCTGAGATGAGCTGTCTTGAGAATGTTTCTCACAGTGTGTGAAGAGACAGGGAATGTGATGGTGGAATTGATGTAATAGGTGACCTGGACAGCATTATCAGCCTTTCCTGTAGTGATATGTTGAATAATAGCCCTCCTATCAGTAGAGGTGAGCTTGGATGGATGCCCTTCATAGAAGTTTTCCTTGTCTGTGTGACTTTCTTTGATGAACTTGGCCACAGTGGACTTGCATACTCCAGTTCTAGAGGAAATTTGACAAGCAGAGAGGCCAGAATAGGAAAGAGAGAGGATATTATCCCTTTGAGCAGGGGGGGTGGCTTTCATGGTGAATATAACCATGACATATGGAAATTTTTGGTTTGTATAGTTAGATATGGTTTTAAAATGACATAATGACACCACTTGATAATTTATTTAATGGTGGCATGATTGTTATGGTGTCATAAATGATGATTTATATAGTTTTAATATGTGCTCAAAAAACTGTCCGCATGAGTCACCATTTTGTGAGCCTTGTATCTCCACCATATCTCCACCGATTCCCACGGTGTAGGGCTCAAATGAAAGCCCTGAAGCCATACTACAATGTGGTATAAGCATGTCCTTGAGCCATTTGTTCATTCTTACACAATATCATAGATAGTGAAAAATGTCAAAACATGTGGACAGTTTTTTGAGCCACTGTATTGATAATGCTTGCAGCATCTGCGACACCTGGATGTCAATATTGTTTCATTTTGTCAGCCTTTCCATCGGACCTTTTGACAATCCAGTAATCCACCAATGTGGGAACACCAGGAATGCCACACATTGCCTCCAACATATCAATCTTGTTCATGACCTTCTTGCTGTCACCCTGCACCCAGTGGTCTTTGATAATATACTCTTCCTCATCCAAGCTGACAAGATAACAAATGGTCCCACAACCAACAAGGCCTTTGGTCGTAAAAAAAATCTTCTGGATGTTGCATATCTTGTCCTTGACATGGATCTTGCCACAGGGGTCTGCAGGTGATTGAGGGGTACTGGGGTACTGGGAAGGATGAGGTGTAGCACTAAAACTGGAATCATCTCCCCCCACAGGAGCTCAGAATGCAAGGTTCAACAAGGGAGCACTAATGGCTTCAAGGGGTGGAAGTGGAAGGGGGGAGGGGGGGGACAAAGGGGAGGGAGGGGAGGGACAAAGGGGAGGGAGGGGAGGGACAAAGGGGAGGGAGGGGAGGGAGAGTCGGGATCTTCCTTTCTCGAGTTTTAGAGGATGCCTGTCATATCCACATATCTGGATCTCAGATCTGACCCTTATCTCATCTCAGATCCACATTTTATCACTGATCCTATCAACATCTTATCCCCCTCCAACATCTCATCATTCAATCTGTCCACTCGTCCAGTCTGGTCCACAACTCATCTGAATCCACAACCAGTGCTTGTCTCCTTTTCAGTAACCCCCTAACTCCGGTATTTCGGTTATCTGTATATCCATCCTGCTCCCTGATCCGTTACCTATGTTTCATTTCTGTTTCATGATTTGTGATCTGTTTCTACTTACCAATAGACTACCAATATGCTTCATACATAGCCTCAGACTCTGCTGATTGATCATTCTGTTAGATACCTATAGTATATAACCTCCTGTAACTCTCTGTAGCACCTCAGTTCGAATATCATCTTAGTTCTACTCATTCCCATCCTCCAGACTTGAGTATCTCTACTCTCATCACCCTCTGAGACTTAGGATTGATTCCTATAGTCTATCTGTATCTGCCTCTGTCTCCGACAGTCTATTACCATTAGTTTCTAGTCTGGACTCATCTGGATTAGCCCTACAATACCTATCCCGCATCTGGAAGTCATCCAGATCCACTATGATACTCCGTCCAACCTTCCAGATGTGTTAGTCTTGCCTTCCTGAAATAAGGGGCAATACTCGGGTAAGGGGCACAGCGCACAAGCTGAGGCCAAAGCCCTTCAGATCCAGTTATCCCTTGAGTATGACCTTAACAGCACCACTAGAAGGTCCTTCCTGGGGATCCTCAGGTAACACATCAAGAGGCAGTGTGGTCACCATGTCAATTGTATCGGCTTGAGCAGGATGGTTTTTAAATGGATGGCAGCCAGGGATGTGTGCACCTGGGGGCAGAGGAAGCAGAATATTTTTCCAGAAAGTAATGGTAGCATCATACCCAATACATTCCAGACTACCAAAGATGACAGTAGCAATGATTTGGGAAAATGTGTTTGGATAGTGGCTGATGTTGTAGCAAGGAGACACAATGCCACCAGAATGGTCGTACAACAAGACCCAAAGGTCATTGTAGCTGTTGGTGAAGGATAGGATGAGTGCAAAGCATCTCCAGGGCTGGTTGCTCAGCAAAAGATATGCTTGAGTGTTTGCAGCTCTTGCAAGCCACTTTCTGGGCTTGTACTGGCTGACTGTCAACTCAGCACATGCCCTGATATTGCCCCACTTCAGCTTTATATCATCACACAGGACAAGATCTGGTTTGCACTTGATTTTGGTGCCTTGTACAGGAGCCATTGAATGAGCTGCACTCCATATCCGAATTACAGATGGTGTGGGCAGTTCCAAATCGGATTTAGCCATAGATGTAGTGACAGCATTGAAAAATGTAGCAAATATTTCTTTGTGGGTGGTATTCTTGACACCTGGCATTGGGATGCATTCTTCTACTATGCCACCATTAGGATACAATAGCGGAAGTCCCCAGTTCCAAAGCCCTGCATTGGTATCGTACAGTGGCACCATTTCATTTGGGTTGGTTAGACAAAATTTGTTGTTAATGCGTGTGTTACGATAGATGATTTTACTGAGTTGTATTTTGAGTTTCGATACTGATGGAATAGGGTGTGTGAAAGGCTTGAAAATGAGAGGGAGTAGGTGGCCTAGCAAGTCCTCCTCAGGCTGAGGTTCAGTTGTAACTGATCAATCAAGTTCAACAGAGGTCAGTTTGTTCATAGTAGGGATGCCATTGACTTCAGGGAGGGAGATTAGTGATGCTAATTTGATCCCATCACCAACTGTTCTATAAAAGTGAGACATGTTGACAGGCACAGTACTCAGCAGCCTTGTCAGCGCTTCAGAAAACAAGGGTCAATGAGATGGCATTTGCTTATTGTTGCCAAAGATATCCTAGACTGATACAAAAGTAGAAAGAATAGTGTGTAAACATAGAAGAACAACTATTGGGTGTGTACTACTACATCAAAAGCGGGAAGAATGTATTTTTGTCCCAGTACCTGTTAAGCCAAAATTCTGACAAGTGTTCAATGCTGTTATACAGGGTGAGATGATTATCTGCCTTTGAGCCAAAGCAAGGGACTATATTAATGGGCACCCTGAACTGAGTGACTGGAATGATGTCACCAATCCAAGTCCCATTCAACCACTTTGCCCTCTTAAGCAAATGTAACTTCGTAGCTGGTGCATGATCACCAATGTCAAATTGTTGCACATAACTGAGGAAGCGATCCTTCCATGGCCATTCTGTGCCCCTCTTTCCAATTGGACAGACAATAAGCCTGATTTGAGCAACACTATGACCTAGATACCATTCAATGAGACAATGTTCAGCACAACAGAATAATATAATAACTCACCACGAAGACCATCAGTAGGCCACGAGTACCCCCCATTGTGATTGATAATGACTGTGTCATACTGGCCAGAGGTCCAGAGGCCGCAAGGTGGTGCACAATTCAGGGTCTGTGCAGGCTGCACAATGCTAGTCTTGTGAATGTCCATGTCCTGGAGCCAAAGTTTGAACCAAACTTGGAGCTTGTCAAAAGGAAGTGAAGCATTGAGCTTAGCTCTCCTAGCCCCACCAATTGTGTGAATGTGATCATTTCTATAGGTATCTTCACAACGAAGGAAGTCAGCAAGAGCTGGTCGCAAGTTGGGAAGGTTGAATTTGAGAGCAGTGTTGTCAATGGAGATGGCTCTGATTGATGGGTCATAGGCAAGATGAACTGCTACATGCTGTGCAACAATGAAAGTTTGCAATGGCCAGGGGATTGTTCCTACATCCTTGTGCAGAAGAGTCTGTGTGATAGCAAAGTAATCAGTGATTGGCCATGAATAATTGTGGTGGTTGATTGTCACTAGGACATCATGATCATGATCAACATCAACATCAATTTTGTTGTCATCTTCTTCATCTGGGTATGCGTGTTGATTTGACTGGTCCAGTAGACTCGCAGTGAGCCCAAAGCAACAGCACTTGTCAGCATGGTCAAGATGGCGACAAATCTGCGCATCATAATGGTTGTTGTTACTGGATCGTGTGGGATCTTTGATCTCAGTGATATGTGCATGCTCCATGGTGTCTGCAGTCCACTGCAGGGAAACACCAGTATTGCGAATACTGGGAGCGATGCTCTGCATGAGCTCCAATTTCAGAATGTACCAATTGTCGATGTTTTTGCCACCCTTGCCTTGACAGAACCCAGCATCTAAGATTGCCTGCTTGTTGGTGTGAAATTCAGCCAGCACTGTCGAAATGCGCTTGAGATCATGATCATCAATCCATGTCAACTGTACAAGATAACTGTTAAGAACCATGCTCAAAGGAGAGAGAGACTGACTCAGAGGGGCTTTGCCTCAGCTCGTACACTGTGCCCCTTACCCGAGTATGTGCCCTTCATTTCAGAGGAAGTCCAATGATGGTCTGACAAAGTCCAGAGGACTTCTGGAGGCTGGCTACTCTGGTGGAGTGCTAGAGGACTTCTGAAGGAGCACAGGAGAGTTCCAGAGGAACACAGGAAGTGCTCAGGAGAGTTCCCACTGCAAGGTAATACTTCTACAGGAAACAGGATGGAAGGATAGGAGGTCCAAAGGTCTGGAGGACAGGAGGACAGGATGTCTGGAGGTACAAAGGACAGAAGGACAGGATGCCCGGAGGTATGAGGGAAAGGACGTCCGGAGGTCCAGAAGGAATAGGGGCTACATCAGACGAAGTCCAATGCAGAAGCAAACAGAGGTAGACTACCCTAAGGTGGAGTCAGAGGGACAGGAAGTGGACCTAAGTCCAGAAAGAGGGTAAGTGCCAGAAAGGCAAGACTCTAGCCTAGGGAAGCAATCCCTAGACTTGGGACAGAGACATAGGGGACAAATCCGAAGGTCCGGAATTCCAGCCTAGGGAATCCTTCCCTAGGCCTTATGGAAAAGGACAAGACTCAGATGGACTGAAGTCCAGAAGATGATTGGGCAGATCTAAGGTGATGAACAGGATCTAAGATGATATTC